TACATGTTTTTCTCCCTTTTGCTTCAACGCAAGCTGAAAAATTACTAAGCAATATCTCACATTTTATTTTTTTATTTTTTCACCTTTTATAATTGTGGTAATGCATATTTATTATGCATCTTTTCATCAAATAATTTGTGAATGGTTTAGATTCTAAGTAAAGAAGAGATGAAGATAGAGGAAAGTTTATTGCTGCATGTAAATATATCTTTACTTCCTATAGTCAGGTTTAGATAAAATAAAAAACTTTCTGCAAACACAAAACCTAAAAGAAACTTTCTGGGAACAATTTTAATTAACTTTTAAATATTTACAATGTTAATTATTTTTTTAAACTAATTTCAACCCTTTCGTTGCCTGGCAAAATTTGTTTACAAATCACCGGTTTTAAAAAATGTTTTAATTTTTATAAAACACTATGGTTTATCATACCTATCAACATGCCTGTCTAATGCGATGACATAATCTCGGAGGTATAAGTGAGGCTGCACAAAACAGAGGAAGATATTCTCATATCAATTATTGCAAGATTGTCCTCCAGGCTAGGATTGGGGAATTATGAACGTACTTTTTATAAATACCAAAATATAGCCTGTAATGTTAAAAATTATTAATTGAGGGTAAATATTTGCAAGAGTATTGAGTATTGATTGATAGTTTTTACAAGATTGTCCTCCGGGCTAGAATTGGAAAATTATGACCATGTTTTTTATGAATACCAAAAAAAAAAAAAGCCTGCAATATTGAAAATTATTGATTGTGGCTGTTTGTCTTTTATTGAGTAATGCAAATATTCGCGATTTTGAAAAATATTGACTTCATGTTAAAATCTAGGAATTTTAGTCGATTTTTGTTTCTAATGAGTGGTATTAAAAATTTCTATGATTTTGACAAATTTTTTGCTAACGTTGTTCACTTGTTCGTGTTTATTATATATCTGTCTATAGTTTTGGGATATCTTTCTCAAGAATTTGGCTTATTTTGTATTCTTTAAAAATTATGTTTTACGAACCTGAATTTCCCTTACATCAAACTTCGAAACTTTCTCAAACGCAAAAACAAAAAATTTTTTAATTAATAATGAAATGTTAACATTCACTTTAATGAAAATTTATAGGAGAATTGCAGATTCAAATGATACAATATCTTAAATTATCTATGTTTAAACTGCAAAATCCTCTATATATCTGTATTTTAGAAAATAATAATAACTATAATATGCTTGAGTGATGGAAATATTTTGTAGAAGTCAGAAATTAGAAATTATCCTGTATTTTTATGGGTAAAAATGAAAAATTAAACTTATAAGGTTTATTATTTTTGTCCATCCTCTGCTATAAGATACTGAAAAATTTATAAATAAACCTTTACTGATTTAAATGTTTCATTAAGGTATTCATTATATATATAAATTTTTTTTCTTAGAAAAAATTTAGAAAATTAAAATAATATTTTATCTTGGCATAATCCCATCACCACCCACATAAACTGCTAATTTAATTAATTTCTGATCAGGCAAATAAAAGATGGAGAGTAAAATTGTGTTTTAATTATTTTTTGTGAATTTAAAATTAATAAAAATTCTTTATTTATTTTTAGTTTCAAAATCTTATACAGTTGCTAAGATAATCTTATATAGATTATAATTAAAGAATATTAAATTCCATTGCTCTGAAAAATATTAATTTTATTAATGCAAAAATCCTTAGAAATTTTTTTAAAAATTATATGCATAATTTTTTTATTTTATTTTTAAACCTATTTAAGCATTCAAAGAAAAAGAAAAAAATTCATATTTTTTTTATAAATTGTAGTTTTTATATTAGGTCACTAGATGGCGCCTGTGTATCACAACGACGACGATTAAATTGTTTATTATTTATAATTTGAAAAAATATGCTCATTTTTGTCGTAACGATGGGAGTTACTTTAATTACGTAATTTATTATTTGATTATATTCAACTAAAAGTATCTCTGACGATGTATTAATTTTGGAGTTCTGAAATTATTGCGCGTTTAATAGTTTCGATATCGTCTGCAAGGTGAGTAACATGTAAGGTGGCAAGTGGTGGTTTAAGCCTAACATTGTTAGGTTAGTGATTTATATATAATAAATTCAGTATTTTATTTCATAATCAATTATCCACATTTCATTGTGACGCATTCCTTCTTAATTTTATAATTTCTTTTATTAATATTTCGTAATGCATCCGATTATATTTTGTTTTCTTTTGTTTGCGAAAGTTTCTTTGTTTACAATTTAGAAGCTTTTTTTATTTTTTATTTCAAGCATTTTAATAAAAATATTCTCCAAATTAGCACTTAATTGTTAAAAATTGCATATGACTTTGGAAATATTACAGTTCTACTGAAGTTGCGTCCATCATTTTACGTTATTACGCAGTGTTTAATCGATCGCGTATAGAATTCTTGTATACTTTCTTTTTTTATAATGTTATCATGAGTGATTTTATTTGTTTTTAGATTAATTTATGAACTCCTTTCACTTCAAAAGAAATATGGTCTTAAATGATAAGTCTGCTTGCCATATTTTTGTAAAATTTTTTGCAATTAATTCAGTGCTCATCGGAATTATCGGTATCGGTACCCTCAGGTTGGCTTACTATAACTTTTTAATATTAATTTTCCTGCTGAGTTTTTTAAAATTTTGTTTAATTTTTATTGAACCAATAAATTTTAAACTCTCATTTTCGCCGCTAGTTAATTTTCATTCCTTCCCCTCCTCATATGTTTACACACCTTTGTTAATAATAATAGTAATCCATCAAAAGTCTTTATCGAAATAGTATCGAATTCATTTGCTGGAATTTTGTTTGTGTTTTTTATTTTTTATTCTTAGTCATCACTATCAGCACTAATTGCGACCTTGAAATGTAATAACGCAGACATATGGCATGTGTAATGATGTTATGAAGGAAATATTGTTTTCCCAATCAAAATCACTGCATATTTTTTTATTGCGTCTAGACTTCAATAGTGCACTTCTTATTTTATTTTTAAATAATTTTATCTGGTTGTTAAGAGTGATGAACTTCAGCTATATTTATGTTGTATTTTATTGATATACTTTTCAACTTTTTTTTTTCAATCTAATTTTAACTATCAAAATGCACAGAGATCATTAGTGTTGTTTATATTCCTCCCTCCTTTAGTCTTGCCTCTTATTTATTATACAAATATTTTGAGTGTGCAATTTTGCCAAAAATATATTAAATGGTATTAGTTATATTTATTCTTTTCCCAGGATTTGAGTTGAATTTAAAAATAATGTTTGGTATTTTTGTGAAACTTTTTTATCTTATTTATCATGAGAAAACAGATTAGATTTCCTCATATCTAGATATGCATTTCTGATATTGTGTATTTTAGCATTCCATGGCCTCTAAAATATATTGATGTGTCAAATCTCAATATTCAATTAAGAGGTAAAAAATGATGAACCTATCAATTTCGAAAACTTTTGTATTCCAGTTTTCTTATATGTTTTATATTTATTTACATTTATTTATATATTGGAAGTTATGAAATTGAATATTAAAAAAACAAAACTGCTAATTATATTAATTGCTGAATAAATGTGTTCATAAATTAAATTAACTTTTTAGGTTGTAAAAATTGTTTCTCCCAATAAAGTTATCAATGGGGAAAGTTTTATTGCTATATTAAATTTTATAAACTTAATATCTTTCAAAAAAATTCATTAATTATATGCTATAATCAAGTTATATTGTTACACATTTTGAACTAATAGTAGGTATTTTAAAAAAGGCTATAAATGTTTGTCTAATAATAAGTTTGTTTTGCTTAAAAACGAAGACAGAATAATAATTTCAATTTTCTTTTTGAGATCCTTTGGGGTTTGATTATAATTATAAAAATTTTCATTCAATTCGGTTTATACATTTTTTTAAATTTTTTTTTTTTACATTGAGTTCTAATCTATAGGTATTTATGTGATATTTTACATTTTTGATATGGCAGCAAAATTAATAAATATATTAATGGAAATTCTATACACCTAATTTTGTGATGTTTCTGGTTATATTAAGTGCAAAAAATTTTTTAAATAAAATGTTATTGCTTGTATTAGTGAGTTGATTTTATAATTTAATTTTATGAAAATTCATTTACTCTGCAATATTTTTGTTCGAGGAAAAATTAAAGAATTTGGCTTGAGTTTAATAAGATCTTTTTTAACTGCAGTGTTGTGATATATCATAACTAATAATACTTTTCTATAATTGTACATTTATAAACTCCTCAAAAACAGTATTTTATAAGATTCTGCATTTTTCTGCTTATTACAATTGCTAATAATTATAATAATGTAATTGTAATAGTGTAGACAAAGGTAAAAGCCTGATTTTTTTTGTGAATAGCAGCAATTTTAAGAATATTACCCTAATTCAAAATGATACTCTTTTGGTAAAAAAATATTTAACAAATAATATAAACTTGAGTAATAGCTTGAAAAATGCTTAATATGTATAAAAAATGAGTTCTTTTAAAACTGGGAAAAGAATCACACTCTCCATTTTTTGTGTATATTGCAAGTTGTAAAAAAAAAAAATTATCCATGGTAATAGCACCTTTTCTAAAATCACCAAGTTTTTAACAAATTGCAATTTATCGTAAAAATAGCTTCAATAGCTTCTAATTAAAGAAGAAAAATGTCTAACATGGAAAATTTCTGGCTAAAGGTTATTTGTTGGCTGAGTAAATAGTAATAAGGTGCAACGGAGAACTAACACTTCACAAATTGATTTTGGTATCAGATTATTCATATTGTATTATAATATTTCATATAATTGACAGTTTTTGTATTTCATTATGTTAGATCAAACATAAGTTAATTAATCATTTTGATCAATTGTTTATATTTATGTGGGTTCTTTAATAATGTGGGGTGCTTTTAATATTATCCTTGGCAGTCATGTACTGAAGCTAGAAGTTAATTCCTATTCTTATGTGCTTCCAGATCCATGTCAAGTGGAGACAAATCATTCTGAATCTAGGGAACAGAAACGTAATGAGAGAGGGGAAACTCCCCTTCATTTAGCATGTATTAAAGGAGACTTGAGTAAAGTTAGAAAGCTACTTAAACAGGGTGCAGGAGTGAACACAGCTGATTTTGCAGGTAAAACATTTTCCTTCACTGGCTTTTTTTATTTATTTCATAATTTTACAGTGGTTAAGCATTTTATTTTGAAAAAAAATTGAGAGCCCTTAAAAATCCTTTTATTTTATTAAGCCCCTTAAATTTATAATCAATTTATTCCATTGTTTGTTGCAAAGTAAACCATGAAACCATTCAGTTGTTTAAGTTTTAAATTATCAAAAGGTCAAGTCTCACTTCTTCATCAGCAATTGATTTTAGGTGGTTGAATTTCATCTTTTTCTTTTTCCACCAGAGTATTCTGTAAATGTAAACTATATTATTTAGTTATTTACTATAGTTGGAGAGAGTCACCTTATTTTTTTCCCTTTTATTGAAATTTAAATTAGCCATTTATGTATAGTGAAATAAGCATTTAGTTTGAATTTGAAGCATAAAATATGAAGTTTTATTTTTAATTGTTGATCTTCTTGATTCACTAAAATGTTGGGTGATGGAGTATTTAATTAGCTATGGATCATTAATAGCGGCTTCTGGTTGATTAGGTTTGGTACAAACTAAATGTCTTTTCCGTTTTTTCAAAAATGTGCGAATTTTTTAAAATTGCGCAATTTGAACGAAAGTTATTCAATTCGCTCGATTTAAATGAAAATTATTCACAATTTGAAGTTATTTTTTTCTGTTTTATCTTATCAATAGAAATATATTTGTAGTTATAATTTTTTTGAAGTTTAAAAATTGATTATATTTTTTCAAAGCATACACAAAAGTATCTAGCAAAATGACATTAGAATTGTGTTAGGCTCTATACAAGCTCCTCGCTTTTGTATTGAAATTGAATACCATGAACAAACTGAAAGATAAGATTTTCTACATTCTAGTTCTTCATAAATCTATCAATTCTTATCTCCCCCTCCATTGACCAGAGCCCCCATCTTATAGCACTCACCATGTAGAGGGGGGGGGGCAACCACAAGACATTTGTAGTTAACAAATTATTTGGGGGATTGAATTTCATTGCTGGAATTAGTAGGACTGAAAAGTTGATTGAAGACTGGTGGTCACAAAAAGGGTGGTCTTATCTTTTTGTTGACTGATTGACACCAATGCCTCCCTTTCCTAACAGTCAACTAGAATATAAAAGATAAGGGAAAACAAAAGAAGAAGAAGAAAAATTAACTCTTTCACAGGAAATTCCTAGTAGTGAGAAGGTACATATATTTAAACTGATTATTTCAATAGGTACAGAAAGGCATGTGGAAATGCTTGTTGCAATAGAATACTCAAGAGCGGCTCTTTTATTCTTTTGATGGATAACAGGAAAGTGTATTGTAACTTTCATTCCTACAAAAATAATGCAAAGTCTACTCAAAATATCTCATTTCATTTTGAAGCGAGGTTAATGAAAGTTTTCAGTTCTTCTTAGATGGTAAAATGAGCCATAAGAGCAAGATAACTGCTCTCGAGCATTGTAAGCAATATAAAAAAGGAACTTTTGAAGTAAGAAAGAATCTTTTGTTTTGTGCCAATTGCAATGTTCCAGTAGATTTTTCGAGGAAAGATAGCTGTGAAAAACATTTAAAAAGTAAACTACATCTAAAAAAAAAACCAGTGAACCCAGTATAACTCAAACAGGTATTGAAAAGTTGTTTGGAAAAAAACCCCTTCAAGAGCAGCATCGTGGTGTTCAACTTTCAAAGTTGGTAGGTGTATTTACAGCAGCAAACATTCCCCTGAACAAGCTAGATAATCTAGCCACTTACGAAACCACTACCTGCCTAAGATTCACGAATTTCATAAAAATCAAGTTGCCGATATTTTAGCCTCTGCAGCTGGTGTAAGTATTGTGACGGATGAAACTACAGACTCTGAAGACAGATATGTATTAAACGTGTTAGCAGTTCTGTAGAAAGACCTTCTTTGGTGGGGAGGATGGTGGGAACGTTTGATCGGACTAACAAAAGGATGTTTGCGAAAATCCCTAGGTCGAACCTTGTTAGATGAAGAAGGTATTTCTACAGCATTAGTTGGTGTTGAAGCCGCATTAAATAGTCGACCGTTAGTTCATGAACAAGGAAATGATGATCCTGAAGAAACATTAACACCATCCCATTTTCTTACCGGTAAAAGAGTTACAACCATACCTTCACAACCTGCAGCATCAAGGAAATCTCCCGACCTGTTCAACTGATCATTCCTCTTGAGGTTGATCAGGGTGGGGAGGATGTTCCAGACGCAACTGCGTGAACACAGATGCGGTGATTATTTATTATATTATTTCTTACATTATTCTTTTGTTGGCAACATGTATATATTCTTTGTGTACTTTTGTGATAGTAAAAGAGTTTGTTCTATAAGATACTTGTTTAGTGTTGATTGTAATTAGAAAACATTTACGTTTACAACCAACACAAGTTCCATCTGTGGACATACAAGATGATAGTTCTGACATTTCTTTATCTGCTTTTTTCTTAGAAAGCATACCACTGGAAAGTGTAAATTTTAAAACTGTTAGCGAAGCAGTTATCCAGTGTTGTCAAAAGTACAAGCTTCGTTTTAATACCATTTCATCTTTCGTCACTGACAATGCGTCTTACATGAACAAAGCATGGGAAAAAAGTTTGAAAGCAGTTTTCTTGAATGCTGTTCATGTGACTTGCAATGCACATCTTTTAAATCTCCTAGGAGAAATATGGCAAAATCAATTTGAAAAAGTGAATTCTTTTATTGTGCATTTAAAGCGTGCATTCACAGCATGTCCTTCACGTAAGGGTCGATTTCGAGCCTTTTTAGTTGAAAAGGGCAAAAACGCCGCTCTACCACCGGTTCCCGTACAAACCAGATGGAATAGCTGGTTTAAGGCAGCTTTGTTTCACGTAAATTACTTAGCTGAATAGGCAGAGTTCTTCGATAAAGAGCAACAAAATAGCAGTAGTTCTTTGATCAGCACGATTTCCGAAGAATGTTGTAACGCAGAATTGAGTGAAGATTTAAGAGAGATTGAAAAATATGCATCTTTAATTTTGAATCTATTAAATTTATATGAAAAACAAAGAATAAGTTCGCATGTTATTTTTAATGAAATGTCTGATCTTGCTGAAGATTTAAAAAGCAAATCTATAACCTGCCAGCACTTGAAATCTAAAAAAGCTTTAAAATCATGCCAGGAAAAAATTCAGGCATACTTTTTTGAAGGCAATATTACAACACACAGATTTCGTCAACCAGCATCAAGCTTTTTTAAAGCATGCAGAGCTTTTGATCCTAGTCAATTCAAATACTTAGATGTTTTCCAAGAAGATGATAGTTCTTTTATTTTTAACTCTATCCCCATATTTGAGGATGAAGAAGAGTTGAAGAACGTATTTAATGCTTACAAAGCGACAGTTAATGAACTACACGTTGAAAGTAGACAATTAATTCAGTTTTGGAAATCGAAGATGGAACGCTATCCAAAACTGTCTAAAGTGGCAATTCGATGTTTGTCAGTACCAACTAATAGCGTGGGTGCCGAACGATCTTTTTCAAAATACAAAAATGTATTGAGTGATGAAAGGAGAAACATTAGCGAGAATAACCTAACCATGTATAATATTTTGTATCAAAATTCTGTACATTTAAGTAACTGCATTAATATTGCTTAAAAAAAAATTTGTAACTTTTTTATGTTTTTTATTATTTTTAAATTGATTTTCGGTGTAAATATCAGTGCATATGTTACAAATTTGTAAAATTTTTGCGCGAATCACCCGCGAATTTATGTCTTTTTTTTCCTGCGACAAACTTGCAACCCTAGTTATTGACAATTGAAAATTGGGGGAATCTACTAAGATAATCTAAATATGCTGCTTTTAAAAAATCTAAAAACTTAAAAAATCGAAGAGAAATTGTTGGATAATTATGTAAATTTTTTTGAAATGCAAAAAAAGCTTGCTCAGAAACTTAAATCTTGCTAGGGAGAAAAGGTGTGGAAGTAGAGAGATCTGTCTCTTTTTATTAAATAAGATAAGAAAAATAGCCTCATAATAATAAAAAAGAAAGAAAAAGTCTCGTATTGATGAAATTGATATAGAAATTTCTGCCAAAAAACTTTTAAAGAAAAATAAAATTTTTGTATCTGTTCAGATAATTAGGCAGAGAAAAAATAATACAAGATCATTGTTTAATAATCTTAGAATAATTTTGGTTTGTTGCCTCTATTACATTTTGAATTGTATCCTTAAGACCTGAAGATTTAAATTTTCAGTTAATAGCCAGTAGCCGGTAGATTAATGACTTAGCCCCTTTTTTTCTCAAACCTAATGAGTCGGTGACTGATGTCAATGAGTCCTTTTCACTTAACAGTCACTTTTTGAAAACTTTTTTTTTGTTTAGATTAAACTTAATTTTTTTAAAATATTCATATAAGAAATAATCTACGGCTATAAAAAGTTTGTTCAACAATAATATAAATATGTGACAAAATTTCGGTAAGCAAACTGACTTTAAAAAACTTCATGTAAAAATATTTAGGTGGCAAAATACATTTAGTGTATACATTACATGTTTGAAATATGTGAATTGTTAAAGAACTCTCCTTACATGTGAATCTTTACACCACAAATTGATGGATTCTGAAGGATCATAATTAGATGTTTTAATGAAAGTTCTTTTCCAGAGTATCTTTCTATATTGATTTACTTTTATCATTGAATTATTTTTAAAAAAAGCTGCTAGTTAATTGAATTTAAGTCTCCAATTTAACTCGCCACTTGACAACTCGTTATTTTCATGTCTATTATATTTAATGTTTTACAAAATTTTCCTTAAGTCCTAGACAACTTCTGTATTTAGCTTGATAGATTTGTATGAGTTTGGTATTTGCTTGTTTGGTTCAAAAAATTATTATATATTGTGCAATAAACATAGTTTAGAAAGAAATTATTAATTTAGATGTGTGTTTAATTTTAGGTTGGACAGCTCTTCATGAAGCTTGCAACCATGGACATTATAAAGTAGCAAAATTGTTGATCGATTTTGGAGCAAACGTAAATGCTTTAGGATTAGATAAATATACTCCTCTTCATGATGCGGCAATTAATGATCATGAAGATGTAAGTGTTTTATGTCATTCTCTGTCTGTATTCTTTAAGATTTTGGTTGTTAACTTGTTTTTAGAGCAGATGTGCTTGTTTCCTACTCATATTTTCCAAACAGTGAGTTAGATGGGATTATGGAGAGCCTTTGAAAACTAACTGCAGTTATATCCGTTAGTTAGTTCCGTAATATTTTCATTTGTTTTATTTTATTTGAATTTATGATAGTCTTTATCTTTTAATTTTTTGTTCAAACTTCCATTATTATTATTTTTTATGGATACATAATAGTTTTCATAATATTTGTTAATCTAAAACTATGTTAAAGTGGCCTAATGATTTTTACTCTTTTTTAACTTTTTTGCTCAAGTAACATGCATACTATTCAGTTCTCAGTGATAGTTGTTTTATCCTATTCTGAACATTTTCTCGCATACTTGAAATTATTGAACAGCATTACATATATGTGCATATGCATCACATATGTGCATATGCATCACATATGTGCATATGCAAAAATGCATAACCTATTTTAAAAAATTGTCTAAGTCAACTGATATGGAAAATTTGGTTTTAATTCTTTGTCAAATTACTACATCAATTGATAATTGCATTTTAATTTTATTTTTCTAATAAAATATTTACTTTTCTTGTACATCTTTACAAAAACGGATTTTATATTTTAAATTGGGACCTGCTTTAATTTTAAATAAAATAAAAATGTACCAAATAATTAAATCCCAAGCACTAGTAGTTTTCAAACACTTGTGGAATCTTATTATTAGAATTTTAATTAATGTTACTTAATGTGCAATATTTTACATTCATTACCATTTAAAACATCTTTTCATTTTATATTTGATTTTTTTTTTTCAGATTGTTAAGCTATTATTAAAACATGGTGCTAACCCTCTCCAGGCAAATGTTAATCACAGAACACCTATTGATGTTGCTAGATCTGAAAAAGTTGTTGAACTGTTAAAAGCTGCTTTACCTAATCGAGATTACAAATCACAAGGTTTATAAGTTTTATTTTTTTCTTCTTTATAACTTTGGCAATTGAAGTTCAATAATAATTTATCCCCTAATATTATATAATAAATCATTCGTAAATCTTTGTACAAAATTTTAATGCCATTTTCATAAAGCTTTACACTGTTATTTTTTTTTTCTATAATAAATTAATAATTTTGATAAATTTTTCAATAATTTTATTGACAAGATATATGCTGTAGATGATAAATAATTACAACAGAATTTGGACTAAGTTTTCAGTCCAGGCATGTTTGAAAAGGACAAGATAGTTTTAGAATTGAAAATTAAAGTAAAGGAGACGTAATGCACAATAGCTCTTACGCAAGACATCTCATACATTAACATGATCTTGAATTCTTTTAGTACACATGAGATAATATTCCAATTAATTTTTTTCTGGGTTAGAAATTTCATCACAATACCCCCAAATATTTGTTTCGTAATTACATTTCTTAACAATTGCTAAGGAACAGTTACACTTTTTGGAATAACTAATGTATATTAATTGAAAAAATGAAACTAAGTACATATTTTGTGGAGTCAATGTGCATTTATTATAAGCAAAATGGTACGAATATTGTCACATCAAAAATTAAAAATATGCTCCTGAAGATAATTTCCAAACAGCCATGAGAAATGGGTCTTCTTGCCTGAATGAAGCATTTATGAGTGTCTCAGTAAGATGTATAATTACTACGGACACTAAAGCATGTTTAGCATCTGTTATTTATGCTGTCCACTAAAGTATCAGGGTTGTCTATGAAGAATATTGTCCCCCACACCCCCCTCTGACGATTGTTGTCAGCTCTTACATAGTGCCTTGTGAAAAACGCCTGACAAGGGCATCCTTGACAGGCTGTTTAAGATTCAGGTCTAGGGAATATGCAGGCCACTGCATACATATCTACTACAGCTTTAAAACAACGAACATGATCCAGAAAAATTTCTCTGTAATACCGGTGAGTTGTAGCTCTACATGTTCTCAGTTATTTTGTCATTGTGTATTATGCCTACCCACACCTGCAAGTCTGGGTCCCACCAATCACCTTCGTGAATATATTGTGCTTAACCTGTTCCCCTCTCTCGCCACACTAACTGGTGGCCAGAATAACTTGTCACAGTAAAAGGGGTTCCTCATAGAACATTGCTCTGAACCTTTGTTGGTGACCCCAACCAATTCTTCCTTTACACCAGCGTAATCTTTCTCGACGATTGCATGGTTAAAGCAAGATGCAATGAACAGACTTCCGTGCATTCTTACCAACTTGATTTAATTGCCGTGAGTTTGTCCTGGCAGAAACCTGTGTATTGTTAGTGGTTGTAAGGTCTGCAGCTATCTTACTAGGAGTGACATATAGGTTCCTTTTTGCCACTGGGGATGTATATCGATTCTTTTAAGGTGTGGTGCTCCTACCACGACCACTGGCATGCTTTCGCGAAGCATTTCCAGCTTCATTGGCCTTTTTTAATTGCGAGATAACACTTTTCGGCTCTTCCATTACTGTGGTCACAGTGGTGGCACTTTAACTTGCTACCAGTTGTCCAACTGCTCATCCACATTCATAGACATTCAAATGACATCTAGCTTTTATTTTGCACTTAATTATTGCAACACCACCTTTAATTTCACAGAAATAAGTTAAACAACCTCCTGCTCTATATTGCTTAAACACCTAACAGCATGAGCTTCGAATAAATAAAGAGCTTTTATACACTGCCCTTTACATTGATAACGCCCTCGGAGCTTGATTTTACGGTTATTGGTGGGCTGTCTGGAACTTTGCATAAATCAGTTGTTCCTTAGCAATTGTAAGGCTGTGCACTATATATATTTAAATGTAAAGCAGTGTACCATATTTATTTAACTGTTAAAAATTAAAATATATTTTGTGACAGAAGGACCACAGTACAATGGTGAGTAGAATTCATTCCAGACTTTAACCTATCATTCTAAATGTAAAGTATATTCCCAAATGCATCAATTTTTAAATCTATAGCTCATTTCACAATGAGCATTTTAGATAGCATTATTCAAATTGTACACCTTTCAGTAATTATTTAATGTTGCAGTTTGTTTCAATTCTCGTATTTTAATTTTTGATTCGTCTTAAACACTTGTTACTTTTAAAGGTAAGAGTTCTAGGTACCTTACAATATTATTTGACAAATATTTGTGAGTAGTGTATGTTCCATGCATGTTTAAGAATCTGAGAGAGAAAAAAATAAATTGTACGCTTAATACAAAATTCTTATAGAGTCATTTTTCGTTTGATTTTTTTAAAATTGGTTTAGGCTAGATTTTATATTGATTTCCACAAGATTCCTCAAAAAATTTAGCATAAATTAAGTTTAGTTTTGAAAAAGCTGTTTCAAAAGATAAATAAATAAAAAATATTGGCAGTAAGCAAATTTTGTTCACCCCCTCCCATTAAATAATAAAACATAATGCAAACTTGAATTTTGAAAAAAATTTCTAAATTAGCAGTAAAGAAGTTTCACTCGGTAGGTATAAATGAGTAACAGTTTATTAATTTGCCTCCTGTATATTTTAATCACTTTTATGTATGGAATGAAAAAAAAATTTTATGCATTGTCTTACAAACATTTCTTTTGATATTTTTGTTTTAATGATCAAGTAGTTTTTTATTTATAATAATTAATTAGTCTCCAATAGGCAGAAAACAATTGTATTCAGTTTTTTTAAATTTAAAAATAAAATTCAATTTAAAAAACATGTTATTGAAATTAATAGAATTATATTAATATTTCTGTTTTCAATTATTATTTTTCTTCAGGAGTATCTTCACCTCATAAAGACTACCTCAGATCACCTGAGGCTGTGGAAAACGGGCAGAGCGAAACGTCACCCTGCCGGCCTACCTCAGCTTTATGTGACCTTACCATGAGAAAAAATTCACCGAATACTCAAATACATAAAGGTAAATTTGAATTTTCCTACACTTACACATTAAAAAGTCACTAGGTTTTGTAAGTTTAGTCTGAATTTTGAAGTATTTTTTCCTAACTGTATTTAACTTGCAATGCATTTGAATTTAAATTGTTGAAATGTGCACATGAGAGTTAGATTTTTCATTTTTTCTAAATTTGTATTATTTTAACCTTGTTTAGGTACTCAATCAATGAAAATAAATTAGTTAACTAATAACACCATGCAGATCGTGTCACCATAAAGGAGATAATTGTTTCTCTGATTTAAGACATAATTGTTCCTGCAATACTTGGTATCAGTCATAAAATATATATTTTTCTGAATTATTAAAATACTGGTTGTTGAAAAAAAATTTTTTTTTCAGTACTTCATTGTGAAACTTAAAGTAGTTAAAGTTTTATGTATTTTATTAATGTGTAAAGAAATAAAAAAAAAAATTAAAACCTTCCCTTAAACTGCAACGTTTTCAGAGAAATATGTTCTTAAATTTGAAAACTGTTGAATGTCTTTGTTGTATGTAACTGATGTAAGTCCTTTTCCTCAAAATCTAGTGAAAAGCACTTATGTTATTTGTTTTTTTCTTAAATTGCACAACAGTAATTAACTTTGTATTGTTTTAGAACAGAAGTTCGAATATTTTTCTAAATTCGAAATCTACTGCATAGAAATTCACAGATGTTTTGTTCTGTTAAAGTATAATTTATTTTCTACCCTTTCCATTGGAAAGGTTTTATAGATCTCTCTATAAAACCTGGAAATTTCTGTCTCATGGAATAGCCCAATATTAAAATTTTTGTTTTAGTTTTAATTAATGTAGATTTAAGTATAATGATTATGTGATGTAAATTTATGTTTGAAAGACTATAGACCTCTTTGTTCTAGGTGCAGATAAACCCACCTCTCCGAGATTGACTCTTCGATTTCAGTCTATCCGATCGAGGGATGACAAAAGCTCAAGCAGTGCCAAGGTTAATGACATTAGCTCATCTCAGCCTAAATATCCCTCTTATTGTGTCACAATGGAAACAAAAGGTGATGTTTACGATTTTCGCAAAGACGACGCAACTGTTTCATCTACACAAAGTGTGCCTTCCGAAAGTGAAGGGCCATTAGCTACTGTTAAGTGTGAAGCCGTGAGTAGCACAAGTGGAAAAGAAGTCGAAGTGGCCGAAAAAGAGACTAAGAAAAGTGAGGAGCCTGAAGGATCTGAAAAGTCTGCATCTCCTGAAAAGATGGACACGTCTGAAAGTGTAGCATCTAAAGTTAATGGTGGGCGTACATCTAATGACTCTAATAAAGATAGGGATTGTGTGAGTGATATTGAGAAAGAAGAGAACAGGCGAAAGAGGAGGAAAAGCAACGATAGTAATCAAAGCAAACATAGTACTGGTAAGGGGCATAAATCCCCTTCAAGCAAAACTTCCCAAGCAGATGGTCATGGTGAACAGCGAAGCCCAAAGGCACGCAAGAGGGGCAGTATGTCCAGTTCAGATACTGAGAGTAATCCTAGCGATGCCGAAGCTCATGCAACTGAAATCAATTTAGAAACTGGTAATAATGCTGCCGCAGCTGCCATTGGACCTCATTCACCCAAAGTTCCTCCTTTAAAAATTGTCATTCCACCTGGTTCTGGCTCTCTGGAGCTGGAAACTCGGGAAAGAAATAAGGTTTCATCTTCCAAACATTCGTTGCCGTATGTTGTTAATACGACTTGCGCTGAAACTATGGACACTACCTCTGAGCCTGTGACTGGATCTTTTTGCTCGGAAGCAAATAAAGAAATGGTCAAATCAGAAACTCCAAGTAAATCTAAGGAAGAAAATCATCCCCCTGAAGAAAGATTCCAGCGTGTGACTCGTAGCAGCCAGCGCATGCAGGCTGCAATGTCAGGCTCAGGTAATGGTAATACTAGTAGTGGTAGTAGCAGCAGCAACAGTAGTAGTAATAATGGTAACAACAATAATGGCAGTAACAGTAACCCTGCTCCTTGTAGCAGCACTGAAGCAACTAATTCTAATGTAGTTACTTCTAGCACTACAAAAACTGAAGGATCGGGTGAAAGTTCTAATGAAGATCAGCTACAAATTCAAACTGATGTTCACCCAAGAAAGAGAAAATTGCGAGCTAGGGAGGGTGGTAACGAAGGTGGCTCACAAAATCCATCTTCTGCGGCATCTTCAAGTGGAGAGGATTCCCAACAGCAATATCAGCAACTGAACTCTTATCAAATGTTTTTAAATATTAGGAAGCAGGTATGCATTATTAAACAGAAATTAATTTTCCCCGCTTATGATACTCTATTTTTATAAATTGTTTTTCTAATTTTTCATCCATTTATTCTTTTTGTTATGCCTATAAAGATAAGTTTATTATAAAAATATTTTTCGCTAGAGAAAAGTCTACAAGCAGTTTAATGTAAGCTATTTTAGTTTTTATCTAACCTGTAATGCTTAAGAAAATTTTTTAAAAGATTAATGCTATGGAATTCTTCAAAAGAAATTATTAATCAGGGGCACAAAATTTTTTAAGTCCTTTAAGAGTCTTATTTTTAATTTTTCTTTTCTAAATCCCTTATAGGTGCTTTTCCATTGGGACATTTTAAAAAGTTTTTATAATCTTGTATAAGTTTTTGTTAAGTAAACATTTTTATTTAATTCTGTTGAAAATGTTGTCAATGCACCCTGTTAATTTCGTTGCTAATAATTTAAATCACAATTCAGTAATATATTTTTTTATAGTATCTGCTAAATTTCTGCTTTGAGAGTGTTGTTTAAAATCAGAATTTATTACATTATATTTTTTCTAACACTACATTATCTTTTTCATTATATTATTGTAATTGGAAGGAAAAAAAATTTATCACACAATCTGCATTTTTTTAAAAAAAAATTAATATGTTTAATACAAAGTGGCTGGAAACTGGGATTATCATTGAATTTTAAAGTGACTAAAATTCTTAGGATAATAATAATAATCCTAAGAATCCCATAATTAATTAATTACTAATTAATAACTTTAATAATCCCATAATTAATTTCTGTAGTATTTTAATTAATAATGATTACACACACAGTTCATACTGCATGAAATTTTTTGTTCATTAAGATGAGAAAGTTTTGATTATCAATTAATGTTTAGAGCTTTTAAATGAATTAATAATAAATCTATTAAAACAAATTATAAATTTTATTTTTTTCTTAAACTTAAGAAACTTTTACAGTTTAACAATAAATAAATTGCAATTGAAAGAACAATTTTATTGTTAAAAACATTTTCTACTTTTATAATTTATGCATGAATTTTAAAATTTTGATTAAAATCATGGAAATCTGTGATCAATTTTAGAATTTTGCTCTGGAAATCTAAAAATTTTAGTTTTTTTTTTAATGGAGAGTGCCCCCCCCTCCCTGTTAATATTATTACTCTAAAGTTTGTTTTAATGCTCAACTTTTTCTATAGGTTGACAAACGACGAAAAGGAATGTTTATTGTCCATCCTAAACCTCCTCAAGGTTATAAGGATTATCTTATAAATAGGTGCTCATATGTCTTGGAAGGAAATCCTGCTAGTCGCTTATCTGTACCAATGGTAAAATCTAATGAGATAAATTTTTTGATATTTATTTCATAAATTTAAACAATCACCATAAATTAATTTTACAGATATCTCCACCCCAGTCTTTAGAAGGTACAATAAAAGATCTTTTTGTAGAACAAGAAAAAGAAAGATATAAATTAAGATTGCAACATTTAATAGAAAGGGTATGTAATTATATACATTTTATTCTCATTTATGTCTTGAAATTTTAATTACATATTGTTCAAGTTGTGTTGGTTTTATAGAATACAATATCCGGGATTGCCTCAGACAACTAGAATGTAAATTTTCACCCTGAGGCAATTATGTCAACTTTTTTTGCCTGAAAGGCTAAAAAAGCAACTATTTTCAGGGAAAAGAGACTATTGGAGACTTTTCTGTACTCCTAGCAATGTTTATTAACATAAATTGGGTTGGCAATCTGCAGCCCTCATGAGCTTTTGAACACAATTCTTTTTTTCTTTAGAATTTTGAATTGAAAATTTGAGCTCTCAATTTTTAATGCTCTCAATTTGCACAAAAATTTATATGAGCTAAATCAATAATTTATATAAGGGAAATTTTTTTTAAAAAAAGTATGTTTTTTTTATGAAAAAATATTTTTTTGAATTAATTCTAATTAGATATTCATTCACTATTTTCATGCTTTAAACTACTAACTCAACAAATTCAATAATGTATAATAAAAAAGAAAGAGAAGTTCATATTTTAATTTTTTTTTAAAAAACTATACTAGATTAATGTTCATATTTTTATAAAATAAAAGAATTTTTATTTTTATAAAAATATGTTTCATTAATCATAAATATAAATTAGGGGTTGTTCAAAAATTTATTTTTATAAACTGGTTTAGTTGCATTTGAAATTTAATATTTTATTATCATTAATTTTTGTTTAAACTCATAATTTTAAATAGGATATGAAACTTTTATATTGTCTCTTCATGATTCCAATTTAAAATTCTATAGGTAATGTCATTTAAAATCAATTAACATAAGAATCAGAAAACTTAGTGAAATTGCTGAATATGTTAATCAAAATAATAATTAATGTTAATTCCAGTTACTATTATAATTTATTATTATTTTTTATTCATTTTTATTCCTGCTAATATTATTCTATTGTTAAAACACAGTCAGCTATTATAAGTATATCATTACTAAAAAAACAGTAAGCTATTATTAGTACAATGTGCATGAAATTTTATTGCACATTTTCTGGAAAATTTCCCTCCACAGATTATATTAATTTATCACTAATGGCATGAAATGTGTATGTTTTCTTAAGAAGTTACATATTTTTTAGGAAAAACTGGTTCTCTCAGCAGAGCAAGAAGTTTTAAGGGTTCATGGCCGTGCTGCTCGTGCAATGGTTAATCAAACAGTTCCTTTATCTGTGTGTAGTATTTTAAAAGATGAAGAAATTTACAATGTTTTAGAGGTAATTATTTTCTACATAAAATTTTGCTGATTTAATGTTCCTGTAAAAAATTTAATCTACAATTTGTAAAATTCCAAATTATTAATTTTTTTTTTTTTTTTTTACGTTAATAATTTGTTATTTATTCTTGATATATTGCAATAGTATGCACTCTTAGATGTAGCTAACAGTAAAGAATTAATGTAGCTAACAGTAATTTTTTTTTTCATTTAAATCATTGATTTATATCAATACTGATTGAAAATTCTGTTATTAATATTGCAATGTTTTAGAAGTAATTTTATATTATTCAAATCCTATTTTTAATCATATAAAGTTTGTTTTTCCTTAAATGCCTCTTGTGTAGCTTCATAATTTGAAGGGGTTTAATTTGAAAACAACTTTTATTGCAATTTCAGTTAAATGTTGATGCTTAAAAAAACTTTTCGTATAATTTTTTAAAATTCTATAAACATTGCTTTAATTTAATTATTTTTGTTATATTTGCAAGTTTAATCTAAATTATAAAAATTAGTAAAACCTGTTTTTTAATTAATTTATTTAAATATCAATATTCTATTCTTATATATTTAATTGTTACGCTATTTTCAAATGTAGTTATAAATCTATTTGCTGGTTTGTAGTAAGTTGTTTTAAATAACAAATTAAGTTATATGTGGTGAATTTCTATAATAGGTTCAAGTTGAACATTTATATTCCCAATTTTCTTGTGGTTATTTTTCTCCTTAATTTACATTTCATTGGCAAAAAATTTTAAATTGAAATAGATACATCAAAGAATTTTTCATATCTCTTTTACCTTTTTAACTAAAGTGATAAGTAAAGTAATTGCACATGAATTTGGTTGTTGTTCACAATTATTTACAGTTAAACCATTCCAAACTCTTGATTAATTTTAGGCGATTTGAGTTCTATAAAATTATCAATCCATCCCAGGTGGTTGTAAGGTTACTACATGAAAATTTTATTAGTTATGTAATGAATAAGTGACATTACATCAAATGTAATATTTACTTAAAAATGTGGTAAAAACTATCTATCCTTATAAAAAATTGTTAATAAATTTGTACTAATATTTTTGACTATCCATTAAATTAAAGACATTATTTTTTCATTAAAATATGAATCATTCCATAAGTAGTATGCATAAATATTAAGGTATCTGTATAAGATAATTTCTATTTGTTCCAAGAGCATCTTTTTAGGCTGCCACCCTTAAAAAATTTTTCATTACTATTTCTTTTAAATCTATTTTGTCTTGTATTCAATTATATCTTTCAATATTAGTGTTTTATTAATACTCCAATTTTGTGTACAGGATGATAAAGATAAAAATGTGAGGTCTCGATACAATGGGCGGCTCTTCTTATCATGGTTGCAAGACGTAGATGATAAGTGGGAGAAAATAAAGGTTCGTGTGAAGTAAAACACTCTTATGTCATTTTTCTTTCTCGTGCATGAAAAAATTACAGGTTTTCTTTATTTCAATAAAAAAAATGCTTCGCTCTTAAAGCAATTTAAGAATTATCAGTATGTGTTAAGTCATTTCAGCAATTTTTCATAATTACCAACTTCCAACTCGAAAATATATATATATATAAATAAATAAAATACTGTATTTCAGTGTTGTGAGTTTCTCATATGAGTTTGTTTTTACTAGGATCTTCATTAAATGTGTATAAAAATTTTTTTTTATTTAATTCCCTTATTAATTAGATTTTTTTTTCTATTTTGGTTTGTATCCGATTCTAAAGTTGTTAGTCTTTTAACAAGCTTCCATCTTTTTTTTAAATTTTAGTGACAAAGTAACAAGATAAATAATGATAGGATGATTAAGAAATATATATTATTTTATCCGTAATTAACTTCAATTAAGTCTTATTTTTTTTAATGTGTGTTGCTTTACATTTGAACTGTGTGTATTTTAATTATTTTTTCATTCCAGTAACTAATATAACAAAAAAAAATTTCTAAAAGCCTCAATCTATTTTTAAAATTGAATATGTGAACAACAAAAGTTTCAATTACATGTTTTTTTTTTCTAATGTTCCTTTTGTTATAAAGCATCACTTTCAGTAGTCAGTGAGCAGGTGAATGATCACTTTGATCGTCAGTGAAAAGACTAAATGTATGTGTTATTGGTCCTCGTTAAATTTTTATGCCATTAAGCGCATGACTTGGCGTTAAGGAGTTGAGCTACCAAAACAAGAGAGCCATCGCTTTTGCAGATGATCAAAATTGTGATGGCTTGCCTTTGGGTCACCGTCAGGGCTATTTCCCAGACCGTTGTGTAGCTTTAGTCCAATGTACTACTTGAATAAAATAATTTTTTACAATTTCATTTCTTAACCAATCATCATAAGTCTTCCCCTGTGGCAGAATTTTTTTTAGCTATCTGCGACAAAACTCTAGCACTAATCTCTTTCTGCAAGATACTTTTAATAATAACAAAACCTATACATTACTAATTTAAAATAACAAAAGCGCTGTGTTTACAGCAACAACAAAAAACTATTATAATTTTTAATTAAACAAGAAAAAAAAAATTTATTCTTATATTATGAGTAATATTCATGCTTTTTGTTGGGGGAAAACTCACTATTTATTTCCTTCTTCGCAATTAATCATTACAATAAAAAATGCAAATCATGAAATCCGAAGGAAAAAAAAAAGAAAGACAACGAAATCACGTGAATCGGACTCCTCAAAAAGAGATTTCTCAAATGCATGCTACTTTTCGAGATTAGGTTGTTGTAATAAATATAGCATAAAAAATATCGGATTTTAAAACTATGGAGAAATCAATGGCAACAACTGCCAAAATTTCGATATAATCATAGCCTTAAAAAATAAGTACTCAAATGCACAATTCGAATTGTCCGTATCGTTTGAAATATATCGGAATATTTAAAAACCATGTGAAAATTAATATCAGCAGGGCTGATTGTGCTCCGGAAAAAATCCTGATTTCCGGAATTTTTGCTAACAGTGATCCGGAAGTTTCCGGAAATCAAGTTTTCAAAGGTGGAACTTAAAAAATATTTGTATATAATTATTTGTTTGTAAGGGAGAGCCAGAGAGATACTTTATAAGCTTATATTCATGATTAATATTCATTTTTTTTATCAGTATATAGTTTTTATAATCATAAACTCAAGAAAGAAAGACATATTTGTAAATTTTAATTACTTCTTCACGTCATCATAGGAATGTGTAAATTGTATAGGTATGTGTAAAATTTGAAATACATTTTAAGTAAAGTAAGAAATACTGAGAAAAAGGTAAAAAACCTTGTTTAAATTTTTTTCAATTTAAACTTTTTTTATTTTAAGAAGTTTTCTGGAATTTTGACTTGGGGTCACAATCACCCCTGATATCAGTAACTGTCGAAAATTAAATAAAAAAATTCCATCAATTTACGATGCTATCAGCATAAATTTAGCGCATCAAAAAGTGATTATTTAAACACAGCATGACAATTTCTGTGGAAAAGAAAACTAAAATTTTTTACTTTTCGAAAGAAAAATCTTTCTGCTAGAACTTTGTAAAGTTCTGCTACAATGTCACTGCGATTCTGCCAAGGGGAAGTCTTCCATATATTAATTGCTTTTTTTTTACTGAATGTTTTTTAAGTACAAAGGTCTTTATTTAATTTAAAATTAGAGACAGAAACTTTTTTTCAATAAAAAAGGAATGTCTTTTTGAAACTTTCTGCTGTTTTAAATTTTGTGATTGAAACAAATCACCAAAATTGTAATTTCCATAATGTTATGAGAACAAAATACTTTTTATTATTTAACTATGTTAAGCAGATATTTTTCACACTTCTGATCTATAACATTGCATGGTTTTTTTTTAAACTTTAATATTTGTAAAAAGTAAGAACTTGAAAAACTTATGTTCTTTCAGGAGGCAATGTTGCTACGGCATCATAATGAAGCTGAATCTTTGCATGCAGTACAAAAACTAGATTGGGAATGGAAAATGAAAGAGTTAGCCATGTGTGATATGAAATCTTCCCCTCTTATCGACGACTTACATGTTCCCATGGTTCATGTGAGTGATGACTTTGACTTACATGTTAGTAACTCCTGTCAGTGACAAATAATGACTGAACTGATATTTCAACACTAGCTTATTTTAAATTTTCTCTAATGAAGTCTTCTTTTAAGATTGCTTTGTTGACCAAGGAAATCTACATTGTTAGTCATTAATATCCAGTCAGTTCATTTTTATTTCCTTTTTCTCATCATTTATTATTACAAGTTGCCTTCAGTTGTACCAGTAAAAGTCACTTCAACTGTTGGTCAATCATCATTACCAGATGCCAAATCACGAGTAGAAATAGGATTCATTGAAACCATCTCTTTTGTTGAACTCGTCAGTCAATCTCTGAAATTGACTGCGACATTTGAACTTAATTTTTTTGTTATCGCCATCGCTTTTCTTTTGCAAGAGCTTGTTATACAAACTGAGAAAGTATGTCAATACTTTTTTGTTGTACCATTGTTTTGTTTTAGCATTACTTTTTGGTTAAATCACAATTTTTTTAAATGCAATACATTATATTTTGTTAATTTCTTGATAAACAATGTATAACATTTTTATACATTCTTAGTTTATTAAAATTACTATTTCAGTTTTAGGTTTTCCTCTAATTAAATGTGATGAATGTTTTTATCTAAACTTTTAGTAATAAATTCAATCAAATTTATTCCAATATTAGATGATTTTTATTGCAACTTTGATACTAGGGAGGTATAGTTTCATTTTTATGAAATAATTATTCTAAAAAAAAAAACTACAAACTCTATTTGTAAACAGTTGGAGTCCTAATTTAAATATTGACACTGGCTTCCAGCTCATGTAACTTATCTTTGATAATGGCAGACTCTAGCCAATTGTTAACCAAAAAAATAACTGAAGTCATGGCTTCACAATTTCGAGATCTACAGCATGATTGCAGTAATGTGGTCAGCACACTGGCCAGACAATTTGATCTTAAACTTAGTGGGTATCAAGCCATAAAAGGAGATAGAACACTGGAGCTCTAATAAAAGAGAAAGTAACCAAAAATAAATAACTCGAGCTGATATACAGCTGTAATATTAAAAAAAATCATAATACTAAGTCTGAGAATTGATTACCGTAATACTTGTTACTAAAGATTCTATATACAGATGATTTATGTACAGTATTGTGTGAAGGGTGGGGTGAGATTGGGTGTTGGGTCATTTTATTATGATAGTTAAAACCCCTTTGGAAGCCAGTGTAGCAGGATTTTTATTTAACTGAACGAAAGTTTATAAGTAACATAGTAGAGCTGAATTTGTGTACAGCCAAGTTTCAAAATTAAAGACTAAATCTCAGTTCTGTAACAGCAAATAAACTAATTTTTTTCAGTCACTAAGAAGCTACTTAATTCCCCTGAATAAGCTAACCTATAACTTTTCTCATTTGGTTTGTGTAGTTTATAGCTTTTAATTTTCTTTAAAAAGATATATATATAATTTAAATGAATTTGTTATTCTGTGTTCAAAATACTTGCTGAATTCTTGAATATGTCAATTTGATTTTAAAAATCGATTTAGGGTATAAGAATTATTAGTCTGTGTATAGAATACCGTTCCAGCATTAAGTAGCTTTTTTACTTAATTTCTAAATTGTTATTACAAAATTTAAAATGTTAATTTCCAATAATTTCTGAAAACTTTTCAAAGGTTTAGTGATTGAATTTAAGGTAGTTTATTATACATGTGTCTTAGAAATAAAGTCAGCCTTCTCCGATACACCTATTTTACTATGATCTTCCGATTAATATAGTTAACTTCCAATTTCTTCCTTAATTCGTGTTCCAATATCAGAAAACTCAATTACATATATTTATAGGCAAATAATTTCAGGTGCAATGATAGTTTTAAATTGATATGAAGAATATTGTGAATCTGACACTACTTGATGGGAGATGCCAAACAGTAGGCTTTTCTCTTTATAACCATTTACTTAATGATTAGCATATTTTTAATTGTACTAAACATGTGGGTGTACAGTTATTTTTGTTCAAACTTGTGATTGTAAATAAAGTTGTTTTCCTATAATTGTTTCTTGTAAAATATTTTTTGTTGGTTTTAACTTTAGACCGATAGGAATTCTTGTCTTAATTCTGAAGAGAAACTTTTACATTAGTAATAACTCCAATGAAGTTTTAGGTACAGTGTATAAAAAACCCACCCTCAATAACTTTTGATCTAATGATCAGATCTTCACATTCAAGGGGGTGACTTCGAATATGCTAATATTTTAAATTACGAAATCGGGCTAAAACTTATTTACTATAAATAAACATACATTTTTATTTAAGGACACAGATTTCCGACCCTCAAAATATGTATGGATAGCCACATAAAATATAACTTTTCATAAACATTAATTTTATAATTTTAAAGAAAATATTTTCCATTATTTTTTGAAGTTTGTTATTTTGCATGGCAAAGTACAAAATTTGAGGTATAGTTCCTGAGAAATCTGACTTCTTTGAAATTCAATTTCTCAGGAACTAGCCTATTTCAATCAAATTGTAAAACAATTTGATTGAAATAGGCTAGCCTACAACAAGCCTTGTAAAACAATGCAAAAAACTGTATATCTAAAATTCAAATTTTTTGACCAGTAAATATTTACCAAAAGTATTTTTTGCTTGAAATTATCTTTGGATAAACGAATTTGCACAAAAAGAATATTTTGATTAGTTATAGACTCGTGGCGAAATATGCAAAAAATAACATTAAGGGGAATCTCCAGATTGCAGCCAGCTCCTATGTTTTGGAGATCAGAAATCCGAATCTGTCAGAAAAAAAAGATGCTTCTTAATTCAGAGAAAATATGGATTTTGTGTAACTTAAAATATCTGCACAAATATGAGGTCACCTCCTTGAACCATCCAAGAACGTAAGATCCAAACACAAGTAAAATTTTCATGCTTAAACACTGATGACGAGTTAACTTAGCATTGCAATCACGAACTAACTGTCATCAGTTAACGTTTGGGTACGAATAGACAAGTTAGCCTTCAACGGAATTAAAACTCAGTCAATTGGACACCTTTTAGTTAGTATTTTCTCAAATAGTGTTGGTGAGGCTTAATAATTGTATCAGACTATACATTTAAATTTGTTTGTCTGGGATCTGTGAAAAAAATTTTATATCCAAGAAGAAAACTTAGAAGTGTGAACATTTTTTTTTTTAATTTTACTGTTTTCATTAACATTCAAAAATAAACTTAAAATAATACACAAAATATATAGTTTCTATTTTTAAAATATTTACAATAGATATAACTAAATCTCATGTATAACAATTTGAAACAAAAGGATAAAATCAAAATACTTTGTTCCAGATTATTTACAAAAAACTATCTATAACACTAACAAAAATCAAGTATCACAATCACTGGTAAACAATATCGAAGAAAATGTGATACAATGATAAAATTAAAAATCACAACACGTGTAAGTCTTATAAAATTACATACAATGCAACTTGTATGCAGAATGTTGTAATGTAGAGAACCAGGGCTTAATTTTGATTTTGTTTCAATTTAGTAGTTAACAGATTGTTGAAATTACGGATCACAAGAACTCTCCCTAACTGGTGTGATTTCAGTTCTGAATAGGATGGTGGAAAAAATTAAAAGAAAAAAAGCAAAGCTTTAGTTTTTAACATTACACATTTTCTAGCTGAATGTTATAGACTAGACTTTGGAATAGGCAAATAACTATTGGAAATATTAATTTTTTGTTTAAATGTAGCATTAGGGTAACTGCTTTGCATTTTCACAAAATAGTTTTTATTCATCTATACGTTTTGCACCATAGCCAAAAATAGTTAAAACTTAATCGTCATCATGAATAACTAAGAAACCCAAGGATGATTGTGCTCCGGAAAAAATCCGTATTTTTCGCTAACCGCAATTCCGGAAATCCAAAGTCCAGATGTTTCAAGAAATTATCGGTCACATATATATATAAAAATATTAGAACTAGAATTTATACTTGGCATCTCTTTCATTTGTAAATATTTTTCCTGGTAGAATAATAAATGTGATTAGAGATAAAAGTAAACTTACTCATAATTTTTCATTTACATTATGCTGCATGTAATTCATTTAGAATATCATGTTTCAATGATTTAAATTTATTTATAAAAATATAAATTTTTTCAATGATTTTACTCAAGAAAATTTCAGGATTTTTGAGTTGGACCCACAATCACCCCTGGAAANCATATAATTCATTTAGAATATCATGTTTTGAAAATTTCAATGATTTAAATTTATTTATAAAGATATTAATTTTTTCAATGATTTTACTCAAGAAAATTTCAGGATTTTTGAGTTGGACCCACAATCACCCCTGGAAACCCAACAGTTTTAAAAACAGCATATTATTTGCTATAAGTTGTTATTTTAAATTTCAATAGGGATTCCAAATATCAGCTATAACGCTTAGTTTGCTATCAGTTTTAAAAGCAGCATAAAAAAAACAAATAAATTTTGCAGTTTATAAATTTACCAACTAGATACAGTATCCATGTAATTTTCTTTTCATCCACAATTCCTTTAGAAATCTAATTATTCTTATTTCCATAGCAATAGGCAATTTTAGTTAGAAAGAGTTCTTATAATAACAGGACAGATTATTATAAGGAAGATTAACGGTTACATCAGTTAATTTACCTTAATGGTACGACAGTTGTGTTAAATAAAAACTGACAACAATGGCAGATTCATTTCCTGATACAAAAGGAGGACAGATATTATTTCACCAAAATAAGGATATTTGTAATTAAGTAGGAGATAGGTAATCTAATTGCTTAAATCCATTTTTTTTAAAGAAAATGATACTATTCACTCTGGAGCAATTATTCATTCCAGTAAACAAGCACCCATTGATCTAAGCTGGGTAAAATTCAAGCCATCACAAGGAACAGAACCCCAGTCCTTCAAACTGATAGCTCAGTGCCCTAACCATTGGGCCAATGCTGCTCTGAGGAACAAAGGTCGAAAGACAAAATGTTTCTTTCCTGTACCCTGCTTATAATTATTAACTAATTATTTTTAATGTGATATGATTGTTTTCAATAAGGTACTAACAAAAATAAGTGAACCTAACTTATTTACACACACTATTAATAAGTACACATTTTTGCTGAAGTAGCAGTGAGATTGAGCAATTTTACAGCACTAAAAGTTTTAATTTATCAATCTTCAGTAAAGAAAATATTCAAATGATAATACAAGTTCAAACTTTTTCTTAACTGTTTCACATATTTTCATGTATACAACATTTGTTGCCTAACTATTGAAATAAATATTAAAATTGTCAAAGACTATTTAATTTATTACCCTTTTGCTATTTAAAAATATTGAGAATAAATTTTTATTAAATATCTCATGACTGCACTAGAAAACTAAGGTTTTTTAATTTTATTTTTCATTTAATCTTTGACTAATGGCTAGAACAACAGATATATCCAAAACCAGGAGTGTGGAACAAGTCCAATTTCGCGAACTTTGGTCTAATTAAATAAAAAGAATTGCTACAAAACGTTAAGGTAAACAAATGTGTCTCTTTACAAATTGTAATTATAATGTATTACTATTGCAATACATTTTGATTTCTATTATTTTTAACACATCTTATTTAAGAATTGTGTGAAATCAAATGATTTTTTTTTCTTTGTTAAAGAAAAAAGTTAAACAAAATACAAACTTTACTTCCTAAAAATATTTTGAAAATGTTATTTTCTAAAAAAAACTGTATTCTGGGGAAATATTAGGCTCTAACAATTTTTTAAATCCTTGTCCAGGAAAACATACTGATGTGTATCACAGAGATTAAATTCTGTTGTACACAAATAATAATGAATGTACGAAGGTGATTAAAGAAAGTAAAAAAGTAGAAATAAAATTATAAATAGTTTTCTTTAGTCATACAGAATCTGGATCTACTGTGATTTTTAATACAAGATCTGAAAGCTGCCTTACAGTAAAACTGCTTAGCCTCATTTACCAATGTTCAAATTCAACGAGATTCAAATTTAAGAATCCAGATTTTTTCATGAATAACTAATTTAAGAAAAATACAAATTTATATAGTTTGTAAATAAGCTTCACAAACTACATACTTTTTTAAAGCACCATAATCCAGCCTAATTATGATGGTACCTTAACCAACCAATTAATAAAAATTCTACAAGCCCTATTAAAATCATTAACCTTAAAAAATTTAGGAAATCAAACCACTTAAATAAGCAATGTAATTTTAAATAAAAATACAACTAAATTACTTATATTTTAATTAGTTTCAATAAAACAATCTCGCTAATTAAAGCTTACTATCAAGAGAAAAATGAATGGGGTATCCCGAAAATGCCTGCGCTCTGAAAAACATTATAATGTATCACTTACTACATATTATTAACTTGGCCAGAAATTTTTTCCACCAAAAAATCCCTGCACAAATCTTATAACAATTAATTCACGGCCAGATTAGTTGAAAATTTAATATGTTGTATTGCAAAACATTCGGAGCAAAAGTTCTCATTGACACTAAGTGTTATATAGTGATTAATACACAAACAATTAAGACAACATTAAGAAAATGTATCTATGATGCAGCAAATCAACCTCCCTAACAGAATGTATGCAATATTAAAATAATTCGTGTCTAGTTATTTATCGGTAATTAAATATATTTGTATCCAAGTATTTTTTTGTTAAAAAACAGCCCGTATAAGGACTAAAACATGCAAAATCTGATCCGACAACCTCCAAGTAATGCACATTGGTTAATGATAATGTTTTGATAGTGTTAGAGAATTGAGAATGACTATTATTGTTTGAGGTGTGTATCTCGGAATTTGCCAATTTTTGGACTTTGTGTCAATGAGAACTTCTGCACAGAATGTTTTGAACTGCAATATATTGAATATTCAGCTAATTTGACAGAGAAATAATGTCAAAGATTGTCAACAGATAATTTAATCTGCTAACTATAAAAAACATTAAAAATTATTTTTAAAGGAATAAATATTTGCAATAAGAATGTTGTGCAGTTTGAAGACAAAATTAACAGATACCTCTGCAAACATGTAAAGTATAATGGTCTGACATGCAGCAGGAAAAACTGATTTACAGTTTTTTTCCTAGTCAGGAGCGCCATCTGTCGATGAACTTTGTTACTAAGTTTTAAATCTACTGACAATCCCAAGCAAGGTGCAGCATACCGCACTCAGATTCTATTTATTTAATCTGCTTCTATTTTTTTTTTTTATTACTCCAAGTCATTCTTGGGAGTCCTGGTATGTTTATAATGATAGCTAATCGATGAGTATAACATTATCGACTAAGATGATTATAAAGCATGAGAACGACATTTTTCACTACAAATGTGAATGCCGTTAAAAGCCCTGGTCAATTAATTTTTAGACTAATTCTATAAGGCACGCATATTCTAATCATTTACAAAAAGAAAATCACTTTCAAGGATGAAAAGTATAAACATCTCAAACAACAGCATACACACAGCACATTTAAGTTACAAAGATCACAAGTGAGTGCAGATTCTGTTAAGTTACATTGACATCAATTCCAAGTCACAATTTATCAAGACAAGATGATTTACTTACAACTATTTGACAAAATACACTGAATCAACACTGTTGTTGTATAATGCGATGCATTTAAGGGAGCTGTGTTAGATTTACCAGTTTTTTCAAACATTAAACCCGATTAGTAAATCTAAAGACAATTTTAAATTAAAATTTTACCATGATTATTACAGCAAATATTTTTACATTATAGTAAAACGTTTTAAATTCCTTTATTGTTTATACAAGCAAAATAACTATCTGCTGAAAAAGACTATACAGGACTTTCCTTTGGTGCGATGTTGAAAACAATCTTTATTAGAAAATCATAATTTTATTTACAAAAAGGCAATTATTTAAAATATAAAATATGCACTACTTTATAAAATTCTAAACTGCCTAAAATAATACCTAATAGAAAACTAAAACATAAGATAGGCACTATAATTGAAAGCAAGCACCTTTCGGAAGTAAAATCACTTTACAAAAAGTTAAGAAATATTTCATGCTGAGTAAAATTTAGAAAAACTAATATTTAAATTCAAAAAAAGTTTTTTTAATATGATATTAAATTTAAAATATTTTTAATATTATATCATATACCACTTTAAATATGCCCAGAAAAAAGCACAGAGAATTTTCATAAAATCTTTATGGGACAAAAATAAAAAAAAAGATGCAAGCCTTTCCACTTTAACTTCGCAACATTTCTATTAATTTTGATTTAATATTTTCTGTTACAATCAAAGATAATAACTTATAAAAATATTTAACTAGAACGTAACTCAATTTATGTTTAAAAACTTGGGTTTAACCAAGCACCTGTAATCAAAATGTTCCTGTAAATATTTAACGTGTTACTTTTTCTTCTTTAATATAGTTTTTATAAACTATTTTGCTAAGGAAAATAAAAAAAGCCATAGATTAAGTGCCTTACACTTGAAGCAAAACTACAATTTTAAACCATAGATGCCATTTTAACGAGAATAATCACTCAGGCTTCAGAATGAACAAATAACTTAAAATATTTTAAAAGTTACTAAATTCTTTTAAAAATTGCCAATTTGGCAATTTTTTTTAACTTAAATTAAAATTATTAAAATCAATGTCTAATTCTTATTTTAGCAAATTTTTATGAGTCTAGATAATGCAGCATTGAAATAAGTAATTTTTATTTTTTCAAAACTGTGGCATTTTTCCATATTGACGTTTTGTGCCATTTTCAAAATAAGCACTTAAGATAGGTTAAACTTGAACTAACAGTCATGAGTAACTGTTGCAATTCAACAGCAGCATATTATTGACCAAGTTAAGACTTTCATAATCCAAATTCAATTTTACAGTTATAAATTATTATAAGTGCCTTTTATGTATTTTAAATTATATAAACTAATATATAATATCAAAAAAATAATGATAATAAAACTAATAACCATCTAATTATTATCTAATAACCATCACTACTACTTTCTTCTCAAAATATAGAGCTAAAGTAAAATTTTATGAAAACTACAGTTACAGAAAATAGAAATGATTAAGACTATTATCCCCCTAATAAATATAGTCTCAATTCTATAAATGATTTTTTTAAAAATAAATTTAATATTAGCATTAATACGTTATACAAATTTTAAAGTATAAATGATGCTCTACTGTTCAGTATTTATACAATATTTATATAATTTTGGATTTAGTTTGCCTTAAGCGTATTTAAAATATTAATTGTGGTAATGGTATTTTCTAAGAAAATTTAAAACAACAAATAAAATGAGCAAAAATGTAACACTCACAAATAATAGTACCAATTAGATTAGATAAATATGACTATGAATTTAATTACAATGCGAATCAACAAAGTCCCACCAAAATTTCTAATTAACAACAGTTCAATCATTGATGCAGTGTTGATATATTTTTTTTTCTGTGTAAATTTCATTCTAGGTTAATATTGCTTCAATATATGTAGTATACACAAACAAAACTTTGAAGAAGTGCTAACACCACTTCCATTTATCTACCTGAAAAAGAAAATTCTTGGGCTCAAAATATAGCAAATAAAGTGGTTTTCACGTTTAGTATTACGTAACTATTATTATAGCAGAATAAAAGGCCATTGATGCACAAAATATTCTGAAACAATTACTAATATTCTTTCTAACATGTTTACTTTTGCAGATAACAATTGGCATATGTCTGGTGACGTTCACATTCAATCGATTGTTAGTCTATCCAGACTAACAATCGATTGTTCACATTCCAGATTGTTAGTCTTACGATTTATATATCACTTTAGTATTATTTAACTGCCAAGCTACTTCAGTTGCTTAGTAGCAAAGCAGAGTTAAAATATTAAACTTATTGCTTTTCCATTAAATAAAATGATTTTTAACTCGGTATAAATAAATTTAACTGAGTAAATTTTTAGATATAACTTTTATTGCAAAACAGTGTTAATTTTTTATCTTTTGTACTTTATTATAAACCAATATTTTATCATTTAAATGGGGAAAAAAATATATAAAAACTTTCTTGCAAAGCAGTGCTTTTTTACTTTTCAGAGAACATTTTAAGACAGTGTAAAAACCCATCATGATCAGAGCAGAGTTTTGGCACTTGTAGGTGTAGGGTTAAGTTAATTAAAATTGTAAATCACTATTAATCCTCTAAACATGAATCACATAGACAGTTTTTAATAAAACTCTCTTTTAAAAACAGCACTCTGAAAGCTCATGTTTTATATTCGCCATTGAACGGCCGACCCAATTTTGGGTTTACGACTACTAATGTTCAACTCCATAGCCTTGCAATTTTGAACTAATCCAGAAGACAAGGAAACTCTTGGATCAGTACCCCCAGGAGTATTGATTTGTTATGGGAACATGGAGGACTCTGCGACTCGACAAATTTAACATGCATCAGTCAACATTTAGTACACGGGGAGTCTTCGGCCAGCTCATGTTTTACAACTTTTCACAACTGCAACAGACAAATACGCTATCTGGGAAGGCCAGTTCCAAGTCTAGAGCCACCCCCCCCCCCTTTTTTTTTCTTCTCTGCTTCGATATATGAGAATGTATTATGATGTTTCCCTCTTCCATAATATTTTTGCCAATTCGAATATAAAAACTATATTTTAAAATTTCTCTGATGCTTACCTTTAGCAGTATGTTTAACGAAATTTCAAGTTCCACATAATTTCAAAGTTTAAAAAATTTAAATTGGTTTGAAAATCAAAACAGAAAAGAACAGACTTCCTACTTCTATGACTATCTACATATTAATTGTGAAAGAAAGCCTAGTGTAGTTATAGGTTAAGAATAATACTCTGTATGACCTGTAGCCCCCCCTTTTTATCGCCAATAAATTAAACTTAACTCAGTGGCACGACAGCTCATAGAGGGCCAAGGCCTATTGTGCCCATCTCAGTTTTCTTAACCTTGATCTCTGGGGTGCAGGAGCAGATGTTCCGGTTGGGTGGTGGTCAGCCGAATAGAGGACCCCCAGTAATTAGCCCCCAAGTATGTTTGGTACTCATTTTATTGATCCACTGAAGGAACGAAAGGCTAAGTCAACCTTGCCCTTCCCGAGAATTGAACCCAGAACCTGTGGCACAGGAGCGTGAAACGCTACCACTTAGCCACCGGGCTTCTTCGATTGCCAATAGTATGAAGAAAATTAAAAATCATTAGGAAATCTTTTATTAAAATTTTTCTTTTTAAAACCTGTGACTATTTAGATAGACAATGTACTTAAGTAAAATAATTTAGTCAGGTTATAATAAATCGAGGAAATAGCACTGCTCTTCATCTCATTTGCGAGACTCTTTATAATACAATAAAAGATTAATGATAACATAGAAACTACCAGAACTTTTATCTAAAAATAAATTTCACCTAAAAATTTTTATTTTAAGTTCAACGTTCATAAAGGTAAAATTAATGTTTAAAAAATATTGAAAACTTTCACAAAAATATCCAATTTCTGAAGAAAGAAAGAGTATTAGAAAGTTACCTTAGTTATAATTCAAATATTTCATCTTGCTGCCTTTCAAGCTTTTTTAGGGAAGACTTAACTTTTCGTCCTTTAGTCATAATAACAGGCTGTGGAGCTATAGAAGGATCCACATTGAGATTACTAAGTGACGAAGAACCAGTAAGACTAGTAGTTTGGTATTGGTAGCTCATACGGGGAGAAAATCCATCTCTAGAGTTATGAAGATCATCTTCAGAATACCTAAAACAGAATTTCCAGGTAAGAAAAAACAACTTCAAAATAGCTTTAAAAAAATAATAAAACAGGAGCTGTTATTTTATTTTAAACTAGCTGTTAAAACCGGTGGTGGAGGAATTTTTTTAAAAAAAAGTTAAATTATTAATTATTGTGTTTTCCTGCTGACCATGCACAAAATTTTTACTTTTCCTTTAATGATTATTTTAAAGATTCAACTCATCAACCCTGTGGCAGAATTTGACAAATTTCCCTACCACTAATATTTTGCTTTAAAATACTTTTAATTACAACAATTACTAATTTAAAGTAACAGAAACATTGCGTTTACAAAAGAAAGTATAGAATAAAAATGTATAAAAAATTTTAATTGTGAAAGTAATATTTTTTAATTCTGATATTATAAAAGTAATTTTTTAATTCCAATATTATTCATTAATAATTTCTATCATTACAATATGTGAAAAATTTAAAATGTAATGAGTCATTTCTATAATAAGAACATGAAATAAATTTCAGCTATAAAGTTTGATTAAGGTAACCATAACAGAGTGTGTTTAATAAACACCACTGTAGAATATTTAACAATAAGTAAGATTTGTAAAAGACTTAATTTGCTTTAAAAAAAAAATCAGGAGTAAAAAGACAAGAATAGTAGTTTCATAATTGTATTTACAATCTTATGATACACGCAATATTTTTTTAGAAAAAGAAAGCAAATAGTATGCAACAAACATTTATTTTGTTCGAATAATTTTTATCTATCAGTAAAATAACAAAATAAAAACATATACAGCAACCTAATGAAACAGTTATTTTTTAAATTTCGTTTTCTGTTAAAAAATCAAATTAGTACAGTGGGTGATCGGTTAACGAACAGATCGGTTAACGAACACTTTCACAAAAGATTTTTTGTGTTCGGACAACGAACACATTCGGATAATGAACAAAACCAATTATAACGAACACTTCTCGGCCTGAAAAAAAATAAATATTGAACATTTGTTATCATTTCGCACACAAAATAAGATCACTGAAAGGAGAAATGTTTAAAGCATATTTAGTATTGATAATTACTAAATGAAACTTGAATTAACTATGAATTTAAAGGTCATTCAATAATTATTATTATGACTAAAATCAATACAGATTTGAAATGGCTGATGTTGCGAGACAGTATGACTTTAACAGGTCTACAGTATGCACAATATTAGTTAAGAAAGATACCATAAAGAAGACTCAACAGCTGAAGGAGTAATGAAAATCACATATGCGAAGCAAAGAAGTGCCATCCATGATAAAATGGAGAGGTTGCTTTTAGTTTGGATAAATGAACGGGAAATTAAACGAGATGTAACTAGTATGCCTATCATTCAAGAGAAGGCTAGAGAAATTTTTGAGAAATTGAAAGAACAAACTCCAGGTTCGTCATCCGAGGAGTAAGAATTCAAGGCTACCACTGGCTGGTTTACAAAGTTCAAAAGAAGGTCTGTAATTAAACTTGTATTAATGCTTGGTGAGTCTGCTAGTGCAGATAAAGAAGCAGTTGAGAAGTACTGTCTCAAATTTCAAGAATTCATTGAAACAGAAGGGTATCGTCCACAACAAATATTTAATTGTGATGAAACTGGTTTGTTTTGGAAGCGAATGCCGAACCGTACCTACATCACGAAAGATGAGAAAAGTGTTCCTGGGCATAAACCTATGAAAAACCGATTGACGTTACTTTTGGGAGCTAACACTAGTGGTGATATGAAGCTTAAACCACTTCTCATTTACCACTCTGACAATCCCAGAGCATTAAAAAAAAATTCCATAATTAAGAGCAAACTGCCAGTAATGTAGAGATCGAATCAGAGGGCATGGGTCACGCAGTATTTTTTCAGAGAATGGCTATTTAAAGTTTGTGCCCCGAGCATCAAAGACTAGCTTGATACCAATGACTTGCAGTTTAAAGCACTGCTGCTATTGGACAATGCACTAGGACACCCAAAGAATCTTGAAGATAATTTGTTGACAGACTCTTCCTGGCTGACAGTTAAGTTTCTACCTCTGAATATGACTTCGCTGATTTGGCCGATAGATCAGGAGGTTATTAAGGCTTTCAAGAAATTGTACACTCGCGAGCTGTTTTGGTGTTTTGAAGCAAGCCAATTCTCCTCAACAATGATTTGAAAAAAGTTATGGAAATAAAAATTTGACATTCTTGAAGCTATTCATATCATTCAAAAGGCATGGTCAGAAGTCACACAGCGACAGTTGATTTCTGCTTGGCGGAAGCTGTGTCCATCCTTCGTTCAAGGAGAAGGAGATGATCATGGAGACACCCCTGAAATTATGGATGAAATTTTGACAACTGCTAGCGATCTGGAATTGGAGGTGAGCGAGGATGACACAGAAGAGCTCATAATGGGACATGAAGATGAACTGACAGAAAAACTCCAAGAAATTCTGAATGAAGAACACCAAGAAACACAGCGCAATGTGTCTCCTTCTGAACAAGAGGAAGACGAAAGAGGACCAATGCCGACATCTGCCATTAAAGATCTTTTGAAAAAGTGGGAGGATGTCAGAGTAATGGTCTTAGAATGGCACCCAAACCAAGCTGATGTCAGTAGGGTTGGGGATCTTAACAACGACAATGCTATTAATTACTTCCGGAAAATCCTGAAAAAGAGGAAACCCTGAGTCGACTTTGGACATGTTCTTCAACGCCCCCCTAAGCAAAAAATGAAAAGGACTGATAAATATGCAAGACTATTTGTATGTATTATTTTTTGAAAAACTTACTAAAAAATTATACATTTTTTTAAATTTAATTTTTAGGGTCTCCAGAACGAATTAATCTATTTCACACAGAAGTCTATGGTGAATCGATGATCGGTTAACGAACAATTCGGATAACGAACATAGTCTTGGAACGGATTATGTTCATTAACCGATCACCCACTGTACAAAAAAAATCCTTTTATTTCAAAATTGCAGCACATCTTAAAAAAATCTTTGAAAATTTTAAGACTATAAATAATATAAATTAAAGAAAATAAATATGTATAACAACAATCAAGCATATTGAAAAATGAGAATTTTGAAAAAGATGTCAAGCATTTAAGAGAAAAAGAAAATAGTCAAAATATAAGATGATATTTTCTACAATATCAAATTCACTAACTGCTATAAAATTATTCAGGAAGTATCTTCAAAGATTTTTTATAAATGACTTTAAATTTAAAATTCAGAGTTATTTCAAACAAACTTCAGTTTTCTACAAAATACATTAAATCGATGTGTTCTTACATCTTTCATATCAATTACTGAGCAGCAATATTTATAAGTTGCTTAAAATTTCAATCACAAACTTTACATGAATCTTATATTAAAGAAAATTTTCCATACTTAAGACACAAAAAGTAACAAAAATTGGCTTAACACATATACATTAAAACTGATATTAATGCACACCTTTTAGAATTTATGTTTCTTGAAAAATAGATTTCCTAAGAAGTGAATTGAAACAGTATTTTAAAAATTTAAAATTTAGTAATCACTTAAAAAAATTTCTCCAGGATAAAATTTAGATTATTTTGACTTTAATACATGCATACGTTAATTGTTTCTTATCTCCCTAGACAGTCAGTCAACCACTGTGCCGTGGCACTTTTGTGTGGCGCCAAATTCTTAAAATGTGCCGCAAATATTAGAAATGATACAATAAAAATTATAATGCCTTTTCTATAATGAGTAAAGTTTAAATTAAAGAAAAGTGTATATATATACATACATATATATATACACTTTTTATAATTTTTCCACGTTTAACCGCGTGAACAACTGTGAGACATTTTGTCTCTTGGTTCGTTTTTAAAGACTCCTCAAAAAGGATGACCAAGGATCATTTCAATTATAGCTTATTTATTATTAAATTCTTGATTATAGAATTATTTACAGAAAAGTTACAAATAGATACATGAGCTATTGAGTATAATGTTCTTGGAGCGCAACTGCTCCCTTTCTTTTTCGTTCACACTCAATCTATCATCGTTCAATTACAACTCTACTCTTCGGCGTTCCAAACTAATCTCCTCTCTAAAAAAATCCTCTTTCCCATAAGAAACAGTCTTTTGCTCCACCCCCAATGTAGGGGACGACACCTGCAGTGTCCTTCACCCTCTGACCCTCAGGTCAAGGGGTCAATCAAATGCGTGGGAGAGGAATCAGGATCCTGACAACAACTTTGTTGGAAATTATTCTCTCTCTGACAATCTTAAAATAAGATGGGAGTGTTTAACTTGTATATGACACAAAATTTTAAAAATGTTGTAAGAGCTAATCATTAAAGTAAGCTAAGCAATTAATAAACAAATTAACAAAGGATAACTAACAAAAATTAAGCTAACAATTAATAATTAGCAAAAAAACTAGTCAACAAGAAATCACAAAAAATAACTTAATGTTAAAAAAACTAACAGTTAATAACTATAGAAAACAAGCTAACAATTAATAACTAGCAAAAAAAAATAATTATTACTAACTAATAAAAAATTAGTCGATGGAAATAATTAATCCCTTAATAAACGTGCTTTTGTAGTACATATTATTTTGTTTCACATTCAAAATTATTATCACAGNTATATGCTTAGAAAATAGTTGACAATATCTGACAGATTATTTATTGCAAATAATTTTTTGTACCTTTTTAATTTAGCATTTTGAGGAAGATGATGATGAAGAAGAGGATGATGATAATGATGATGATGAAAGTGAGAGTAATGAAGAAGATGATGAAGAATTAGATGCTGAAATGAATTATGATCAGGACACTGAAGTAATTTGAAGATTTTGTGATAGCTTTGTTGCAGTAAGAAATTAATTTATTAAATTTTTAATCTATATTTTGTGTATCTTGTATTTTGAAGGAAAGTACTCATCTTGTTAAAAAAAAAATTTAGAATTATTTTTTAAATTTGAATTTTCTTGAAAATATTTAACATTAATTACAAATAAAATATATTTTTTGATCACACTTTGGGTTAACTAAAGAACAAAATGCATACTTTTTTTATTTTTTGTGACTGTTGTAATACCTGCTCCCTCATTAAAATAGAATAAATATTTTTCTGCATGAGTTGATATTACAGCAAGCATAAGTCAATCTATGGAAAATGTGTATAATTTTTATATTGCAGTTTATTTTTCTCAGATTGTTTAATTTCTTGTTAAATGTCTTGTTTTAGATAATGCAGTCTAACTACGAATATCAGATGAAATGTTTTTCACCCTGATTTTTGTGATAATATTTGTTGCAAAAGGAAATTTGTGTACCAAAATGGCTTATTTAGGCACTAACTATGTAACTAATTTAAATGAAAAGTAAGAAATAAAAATCGTAAAGCATAAATTATGAGAAAATAACATTAATGGTTTAAATTTTTGCAATTCATTATGATTTGCTCATTTGTATTTTAATAAAATAGGACTAAAAAACAATTACTATACCAATTTGAATAAAATTCAAACTGTATTTTTCCACCATTTTTACTATTTTGTACCTGTAAAAGTCTTGAGACAAAAGTAGAGTGTAAAAATATTTGCGTAATCATAGTATTTTTTTTAAATGATTATTCAATATTATCTCATTTTTTTAATCTCAACAGTAGGCCCACACTAGGTGATCATTATTTACCCCAGAAACAGAGTGATCGTGAATTACCCCGGGTCACCCTAATTAAAAAATTTTTAATCTAATTTTTTTCATTGTGTGCCATCAAATTTCGAAATCGTTAAAAGTGTGCCGTAACAAAAAAAAAGGTTGAGAATCACTGCCCTAAACTGTGTCCTATAGATAAAGCCCATGAAATCATGCGATTTTAAATTAAGAAGTACCACTTCAGGATTGTAGAACAGTTAGCTCACAAGTTAGAAGATCAATATATAAGCAGGAGCGATCTTAGTAAAGTCCTAACACATGGCATTAAACCTGAAGGTGTTTGCTGCGGAGCTTAGCGAGCATTTGTTGCTTGTTTTAATCAGTATTGTTTACAATAGGAATGTACAACCTGCAGCTCTTGAGTGGTCTATGCGCTGTACCCATCTGCCCCCTCCCCAAAAAAAGAAGCAGGAAAAATACATAACTAATAAGAAAATTTTGAAATTTTTTTTAAACTTTCAACTAAATTTAAAAAATATACTGAATATATTTTAAAAATATACTGAAATTTTAAAAATATACTGAATATATATATACTGAAATATTCACACAAAAATTTCAAAACAGAAAAATACTAAATCAAAGTGTCAGAAAATTTTAATCTTATAACAATTTGATCTCTGAAAAAAAATGTTCATTTACCAAAACATGNGAAATTTTCTTTAAACTTTCAACTAAATTTTAAAAATATATATATACTGAAATATTCACACAAAAATTTCAAAACAGAAAAATACTAAATCAAAGTGTCAGAAAATTTTAATCTTATAACAATTTGATCTCTGAAAAAAAATGTTCATTTACCAAAACATGTCTAAATAAATGTAGCTCAGGATTTATATGATTGATATAATGTATATATTTTTCATAAAGTAGAAGGAAAGAAGAAATTAATTTTTTCATAGAAAAGTAATATAATTTCACTTTATTTAAGACAAAGTAAACAAAATAATCAATTTTTAATTAAAAATTTTTACATATAATTTGTAAATAATATAATCATTGTTCTTAGTCTTGATTTTTTAAACAAATCAATATAGATCTCGTTACACAAAGAAATAGTTAAGTTTTTGGAGAACAAAAAATGAAAAAAAAAAAAACACATACTGAAATGTTTGTATGTTCTTGTTAATATTTTTTTTAATTTAGTGTATTTGTCGTAGTTATTAAATGCAGGCCCGTCCCCAACGGGGGGGTGAGAGGGGTGTCTCACCCCCCCAGCAATATGATCCAGTCGGCAAATTCAGGTTGAGTTCGGCATTTCTTTTTTTTTTTTTTACAAGCCAAAATCCCGATTTTGCCGAAATTCTTTCATTGTCGGATATTTCATCGGTGATGATATTTAAACGGATTTCAATGTTATCTGAATTTCGTTTCGGGATCCCTGACCCGACTCGGCAAATCTCTCTGTGAAATGTGTTNAACACAAATTCTTACAGATCTCTTTGGCTAATAACTTCTAATGTCTAATTAAAGAAATAAATAAAACTACAATACTTATTTTACTTTATATTAATATTCGCATTATAGTGAATAAAAAATTTTGTTCTCAAATCTTAATAGTTCAATAATGAAATATAAATAAACTGAATCTATTGTAGCCTCCAGTTCTCTTTTCAATTATTAAAATAATCAATATTCCTTAATTATATTTTAAAATAAGAAATTATACTTACACAACTTTGTGCTGTAATCTAAGTACTTTATCCTTAGTCTGTGCAATGTGACTATCAATTCTGATTAAAAAGTCTGCAGCACTTTCTTCTTTTTCTACGCCATTTAACCCATTATTAGTTGTAATACTTGCATTTAATTGAATATCTGATAAGTCAATACTAGTTTGGCAATTAATAAAAGAATGACCATTTTGATTTTCACTAGGATGTTTCACTGGAGATGTCTGTGGAGTCTGTGGTGCAGAAGATATGGAAGAAACGATAAAAGCTTCTTGGTCTACAGGAATGTCTAAGGAGGAACGTAGAAAAAGACTATCAGCAGTCCACATTTTGTTAGCTCTTTTTATCTGTTCCATCTACACAATGAAAAATAAAGTTTAACATGTAAATAAAATTTATATTGAACACGAGACTAAATTAAAATATTGATTATTATCGACAATGTCAACTTGCATCTATGAAAAGATACTCCAACATAGAATCGAGTTGGAATGCCTTATATACTAGTGAATTAAAATAGTATTTTTATAGTGGTAGACGCACTATAGTACTCCCCCGTCAGAATTATATCTGTGACAGAATTTGATCAATGGATACCACTAGTTGTTTCACTGCTGTTTTTGTGAGAAGCCGGGAGAGCTGTATTAAGATCACCGTACGTTTAAATGCTGATCGTGATAATTGCATTAAGTTCATGGTCATGGTCGCTTCGGTGTTGCCATTAGCAGTCGAGTGTATACAGGTTGACATGGTGATCGACACTGAATAGCAACAGCGCGAGGAGGTGGAGAATATCTCAGTCATAAGTAGCAAGTCAACTGCTTAATGGGGACCATCCATCGAAGTAGGCGTGTCAAATCAAAGTGGGACTTTCTGTCAAGGTAGGTGTGTTCACATCAAGTCCGGGTTATCAATGTGGGGACAGTATTTATAGACAATTTCGACTTTCATCTATCAAAAGGTACCCCAACATAGAATCGAGTTAACATGTCTTATGTACTAGTGAATTACAGTTGTACATTCATAGTGGTAGATGCACTACAATTTATTATTACTTTGCATATTAGATTTACAGCACATTTCGTTTTATTAGAACATACGAAAAAAATAATAAGAACATAATGAACGTACTATACAAAAATGTTCCCCCCCCCCACCTAAAAAATTAACTAGTTTTTCTTAACTCAGTAATAAAATATAATATGAAATATGTTAATTGCTCCATATAAGGTGTTTTATTTTATATATCCAAGGTGTTTACAACTAGGAAATGTAACAAATGTTTCATAAGGCTGTTAGAAAGATTGAAGATTTTATTTTACTTAATTTTCAATAATTAAATTATACAGTTTTAACATCTGGATACATTTAAAAATATATTTTGGTAAATAGAAATTAAGTCAAAACAATTTACTTTTCAATCTTTCTCTACCATTTATTAAATTTTCCCTCATTAAGGCCGCCCAGAGATACATATATATATATAAAATTGTCTACATGCTTTATTAGTTGCGTGGGGAGGATCTTACTGACAATATCAACCATCATCTATCAAAAAGTACCTCAAGATAGATTTAAAATGTCTTAAATACTACTAAATTTGAATTTAATGATTGTAGTGTTAGTTACTTCACAATACTCCTACACCTTAATTTCATCTGTGATAGAATTCAATGAATGGATTACACTCATGGATTCATTGTTATTTTTTGCGAGAATCCTGGAGAGCAGTATTAAGATAACTGGACCTTGAATGCTGATTGTGAGGGCTGTACTAAGAACATGGTTGTGTGCACTGTCGCTGCTATGTCCTATTAGCAGTCTAGTGTATGCAGGTGAATGTTGTGTGTGATTGAGACTGAGTAGCAATAGCCTGAGGGGGACAAAGTTGCAGTCATAAATCACAAGTCAACTGTTTAATGTGTACTAACCATCAAAGTAGGTATGTTTATATTTATGTGTGTGTTATTGGCATATATAGATCACGTTCAAAAACCACCAACGTAGGACTAGGCTATCAAAAGTTACGTCCTGATGTAATCAAGTTAACATTTCTTAGATAATACTGAATTGGAATTGAATAATAGTAGTAGTTATGCTACAGTTGTTTAAAAATAATGCATATTCAGATTTGAATGAGCATAGGATCGCAAATAACATTTACCAGCAAACTTAATTTTAGTGTTATAAAGTTAACATAGAACTGAACAAATCAAGAATAAATTAAATTGAAGTTAAGTATTAGATATACCTTATCACAAACAGCTCACTCAAATTTAAGAATTGCTTAATTACTTTTTAATCCAATATACTAAACCTTGAAAAATGATTTTATTAACATCTTAAATTGTTGACTGCTGCATACATAATTTTAAAAAATATTTAGAAATTAAAATATATAATAAGATAGCAAACTATTGTCAACTTGAAAAAGCAGAAGTTTTAAGTGCTTTAATTTTAAATCAAACTCTAAGCAAAAATCTTCAAAGAAAAACACTATTTTCTCAAATTCACAGAAAAAAGTTGCATGTTAAGATATGTTTCATACCTAAATTTATGAATTGTAAATTAAAAATTCAATCGATGGTTCTAAAAGTTGTAGTTCTGAAACATAAAGACACTATAAAATTCAGCTTCCAGGTTCAATACAGGGTAAAAAATTACTTAACCTCAAATTTGACATGCAGTTTATTAAGCACCTAGCTAACAAGTCAAATTAATGTTTAAAAAAAAAAAATTAAACTGTAACTTGAAATATCAAACACTAAACATTACAGAAGCATATACATTCTAAATTCATTAATGATATATAATTCAAGTTTTAATCTAAGTTCTGCATTCATTGTTAAACACATTTACAAAGATTATTAAAAATTGCAGAAATGTTAAATTGATGTAATTTACAAAGCAGGTCTGGAAAGATAGAAGAGATACTAAATTAAAGTTACAGCTATGAACTTAAATTTGTAGGCTAGAAAATCCCAAATTTGAAAAATGTTCGAGAATTATGTCCTCAGCGAAAAACTTTAGAAATGCAAAGGGCAAAAACACAAATTCTTACAGATGTAGAATAAAATTAAATTTCATTATAAGAAATCAATTCTTTCTAATAAATTAGCAAATTTGGGAATATTTCCGTGTAAAACATTTGACAATTAGATAAAAATCGTATTTTCTTCAACAGGTCTATGCGTTCTACTTTTTTCTGATTAAGTGCAAAACTAGGTCGAAGGTCAGTTCAGAAAAATTCAACTAATAAAATTTGAAATTAAATAGTTAATAAAAGCAGAACAAATTTACAACATTAAAGCAGCGTTTATCATTTGTAAATAACGATATTCAAGAAGGGAGGACAAACGTAAATAAACAAAAACTTACAGTAACTCCATATCGAAGAGCTAATCCCTGCAGAGTATCACCAGGTTGGACAATATGTTTAATGTGTTTTTCAGTTTTCATTCCTTCTTTTGCCATACTTCCATATCTTACATGCTTCTTCGCATAACTACTGAGCGAAATCTTCTCCTGTGGCTCTGCAATAGTCGCCATGTCCATGTCTACTCATAAATAACTCTAAACTGTTGCCAGATTTTAGTTTCGATTTTAGTTATCTACTCCGATTAGCTGTTAAATGAGCCTCAACTGAAATCTTAGGGAACTTTCGGACTGTAACATTTGATCGCAGCTACATCTGATTCCAAACAATCGTGTTAGTTTTCAAGTGCAATTTAAATTTAGAGCTGGAATAAAGTTCACGCCGGCATTTTTTCTACTTTTCATTTCATTCACACATCATTTGTACTTTCTTTTCACACGTCACTGCTGATGACCATTATAATGATGTCCAATACCTTGATTTTGTGAAAGGAAACTAATTCCCGTCACTGGTCGCTAGACTTATTAGTTTTTTCTAATGTACTATGTCGCACAGTAGGCTGATCGTAGGACACGGTTCTCAGTTGATCATAGAAATTAAGCACCACTGGTTGCTGTTAGTGAGCTGGTGGTGGACCACTTTAATTAGCCGGCGAAGGGACCAAGAATGCGTGGTGTCAATCCTCGCTTAACTGTTCCATCATAAAATCCTTGACTTCACGTTTAAGCCATCGGGCTACCGAAGAGGGAAACCCACGCCTCTGCAGAGTATCAAAATTGTGATGGCATGTTTTCGTATCTTCGGGATTTTTCTCCGACCGCTACCAATAGCCTATTGTGCAGCTCTGGTAATAACATCCAAATTATTGTATAACATGAAATTATAATTACTTGATCATTTTGAAAGCCAAAGGGGTTAAAAAACAAGATCAGTGAAAAATTTGTTACGAACTTCTTTTTATTGCTCGTGTGTGGCTTGCCCCTTATTTCGATGGTGAGAACCGCTTTAACATGATCTTTATTCAGTTAAAAATGGATAAAGCACATGAGCCAGATGTTATACTATTGTAAATAAAAAGTATTACATCTATTTGGTACTATAAATGTGTTTAAAAGATTATTAAAAGAAATCTCCAATTTTGAGAAAGAGTTTTACTTTTATTCAAAAACTGAGCTCAGAAATCTTTTACAAAGATTTATTCATACTAAATAAAATAAAAAGCTATCTTTTTGTGCATTAATGAATGTCTGTTTGTCCTTTATAGACTCCTAAATCATTCGATCGTGAGCGATGAAATTTTGGCATATTGTTAAAGGACAGCAATGGTCACTGTAGACATTCGAACATAAAATTTCAATTAAATCGCTCGGGGAGTGACATTTGAAATATGAAAGTTTTTCATCGGTATGGAAATCTATAGCGATAAAAATTTGACAAAAACTGCAAACAATTATGTTTTTTTTTTAATCTATTTTTTTTAAGGATAATAATAGTAATGTTCGTTCTCTCAGAAATTTGTTACATGTTCTTTAGCTTTTAATTCGTTATATCAGAAAAAATTAATGACCACCATGAACGTGGTAAGCGGAGTATGACTACATTATCAAATTAGTAGTCCTAAAGTTATCTAACTGTTAATTTTGTTTATAGTTCTGCTTTTAAAGCGTGTTACTATGAAACTAAATAATTTAAAATAAATGGTAATGGAAATTAAAAATTGTGTACTGAAAAGCAAATTTAATGTAGAAGTAATACTAATTCGTTTAGGAAAAAAGTAGAAAACCGTCATACAAATATTTACGCCAATTCAAGCTTGATTTTAGTAATAGAAAGTCTTTGAAATAAAAAAAATACGCTCTATAATAAGGATCAAAATTAAGGGAGAAACAGTACTGATTCATTAAGGAGAAACGTATAAGACAACCAAACTATTTTTGACGTCAATGATGCTTGGTTAAATTTGATTATAGGAAGCGAATTTAAAAAATAAGTAATGCACTAAAGGGCAAAATTGATGAAAAAGAAGTATTGATTCGCTTAGGTGGAAAGCAAAAAGTTACCAAACCATTTTTGATGCCAATTATGTTCAACTAATTTTGTTAATAGGGGTACTAATTCAAATAAAAAAGCTATTGTGTTAAGAACAGAAAGAAATGGTCCTAATTCATTTAGGAGAAAAGTAAAAAAATCGTCATACCCTTTTAGCCGCCATTGATGTACCCTGTTCTCACCGACCACAGCGCAGACACAAAATATCTTCAGTAGTAGACGGAACATGGGATAGAGTTAGTCTCGTCAAGCTAACCGTGAGAGGTTTTCGTGATTTTCCTCTACATGTAACGCAAATGCGGTTATAGCTCCATCAAGAAAGTCCTCCACTGAGGCACATTTCTCTCAATACTTGATCCAGAAGTTCCCTTGTCTTTTGGAATGGATTTAAAATTGCAAGACAACGGAGTTGAGCATTAGAAGTCGTACCCCAAAAATTGAGTCGGCTGTTCAATGACGGTTATAACATTTAACTATATATAAAAATCTAGTGATGGTGTCACAGTTTTCCATTGTTGTCGGTGCGTTTTTATTAGCCGAAAAATCACATGGTAGGATCCAGATTTCCCCCATTAATTTCCATATCGGTTTAGTTGTCATCAGCATAAAATTGATGTAAGTAATAATGGTATTGTTTTTTCATAAATATTTTTGTATCCATAATTTGTCCCACGATGGACTGATCATTAAGATACGGTTTCCAGCAGATCACCGAAGTCGAGCATCACTGACTGTAGTCAGTGTGCGGGTGGGTGACCACTTGACTCAGTCTGTGAAGGGTCCGAGACTGTGCGGTATTGGCACTCGTTAAACTCTTCTACCATAAAGTGCTCGACATCGCGCGCAGATCGTCGGGCTACCGAAGCGGGGATGCCATCCCTTCTACAGAGGATCAAAATTGTGAAGGCAGTCTTCGGATCATCCTCAGGAATATTTTCCCAGGCCGTCGTCAATTGCCCATTCTGCTGCTCTAGTGCGACATAAACGAACCACAACAACAACAATCCCTAATTTAAAGGTACCTGTACTGTTATTATTACGCTTTTAATTTTGTTTGTTCTCTAAACTAAGAGTTTAAGAGTATTGTTATTATTATTAGAATAAAGTAATTCTGTTTTACATTTAAAGATAAAGTTCTTTAAATTAGCATCCGATCTTTTATTAACCATTTTACAATTATTATTTTTTGGTGCAAATTATATTAATATACTAACATAAATTATGGTTGAAGAGATTCATTTAATGATTTAGAACTTAACTATTAGCTTCATGCACGAAATGATGGGTGCAAAAATTGTATTTAAAATATATCCGCCAGTTTGGTGATCAAAAATATTAAATTAGAGTTGTGAACTTACCAAATTTGTTACAACAATATACTTTTAATCATAATCGTTATTTGAAAAAATGATTTATGTCCTTTAATAGATTTTAATAGTATCATAAGGGAAGTATTTTTACATGGAAAGTGGTGGCACAAGTTTTCTTTTCAGTACATGTACACCGAAGAGCCATTACATTATGACCACCCTCCATCTATAAAAATGGGCTCTCCCAGGTTTTCATGGTTTCTCGCCCAGGAGCAATGTTTTCATGGGGCACATTAGGACCCATAATCCTCACAGAACAATCCCTGACGTCTGTAAGCTACTTGAACGTAGTAGACCAGGTTCACCCATTCATGGCAACAGTTTTTCCAGCTGGGGATGGTGTTTACCAACAGGATAATGCACCATGTCACAAGGGTCGAATCGTCGAGGAACATTCCAGTGACTTTCAAGTGGTCTTACTTTGTGGTCCTACTTGGAAAACCAAATTCGTGCTGCCAAGCTACCCCCTCGCAATGTGAGGGAATTGCTGGACCAGTTGGTGAGCGCTTGATACCAGATACCTCAGACTACCAATCAGCACCTTGTGGAATCAATGCCACGGCGGGTATTAGCAGTTTTGAGGGCTAAAGGTGGTACTACATATTATTAGCAGGGTGGTCATAATGTAATTGCTCTTCGGTGTATATTTTGTAGAATAATTTCAACTGTTTTGTGTCAAGAAACAACAATTATTGCGAAGCATTCATCGGGGTTGGTGAGCATAAGCGAACAGGGGGCTTGGCCCCCAGTTCTTAAACAGTGGTTACCAACTGGCAGCACGCGGGACACATCCGGCCCGCGAACCAGGATATTAGTCGCCATTTTTTGCTTACAATTTTCGTAGAAAATCTATGTGGGTTTTAAATACTTTTAAGTTTTATATCTTAACAACTGTTGCACATTGTTTAATACATAGGTGCACATTAAAGTTATTGTAGCCAGAATCTTTTAATATGCGATTAAATATTTTTTTAAATCTACTTCTTATTTTAATTTGTAATTCAATACTTTTGTATGTTCCTTCAAACATAAAAGAGTCCTATATAAAATTTTGATAAAGTTGCGACCCGATATTTGACTGGTGTTTCTAATTGCGGCTCATCTTTAGTTCACTTCAGTTCTAACGCATGTAGTAATTGATGTGTATCATAGGGCCTGAAAGACTTTTGTCTAAGGCACCCAAATTTCCACCGTCTCATTAAATTTTGAAAAAAATGTTTTTTTTTTCTTACTAGAATTCTGAATAATCGAAAATTGAATTAAATATATAAGTTTAATTTATCATAATCTCTTGTGTTTCAAATCATTGAAAAGCATTTTGAACAATGAGTCCCCCCCCCCCAAAAAAAAAACGGATTACCCTGAATATCTTTTGATCTTATGATCAGATTTTCACAAAAGGATATAGATAAATACGACTTTTTTAAATTTCGATTTCTCAGGTACTATTCGTTCGAATTCTTTCAAATTTTATAGTTTGCCATTTAAAATTACATTAATTTAATTTATGCAAAAAAAAATTTATACATTACAATTCAAACTTATTTTGACTAACAATAAATAAAAAATAATAAATATTTTCTAGAAGCTATATTTTGCATGAAATTATCTTCAGATAAATGGATTTTATAAATGTGTGCAAAACTTTTTCAATTCACTTAAAAAGTTTTCGAACTATGTTAAAACATGCAAAAAGTAAAATTAACAATAAGGCGTCCAAGCTTTGGACCGCTTTTTCTGAGGGAAAAAAAAAAATTGGATCGCGATAATTCTTTGTATTTTGAGCTTCAAACATCTGAATTCGTCGAAGAAAAGCTATTTTTATTCAGACATTTTTACATTTTTGTGTCTTATTTCGTAACTTAAAATATCGTCTGCACTAATTAATTAGCATATTTGAGCTCAAATAGTTAGGACTGAGTTTTCGAACGTGAAGCTCCGATCGATAGATCAAAAGTTATTTAGAGTGGTCCGTTTATTCTTTTCGCACTTTGCACGAAGATATTTATCAGTTGTGTCTCCAAACTTGAACCGGGCAGATTCACAATA